AAGGTCGAATTTTATTACGTGGAACCGATATATTTTCTAAAATGACAGTAATTGATTACCGGTGCATCACACTTCGTGCATATTTTTCGCTAATAACTGAACTTATTAATAAAAATCTTGTGAATATAATAAAAATCCCGGGAAATCTAAACAATAACACAATCAACTCGTTTATTACGAAACTAAAACAATCGATACAGATACTCATAAATCCCGGTATCGAGGTTACGTAAGTGACAGCACTATGCAACATCTGTTCACCGGGAACGGTAGGATCGCCATATGTTCAGGTTTCTCGGGATTTCCTTTAATTTTGTTCTGTTGGCGTCGGATATCCAGTTTTCGTGGAACTCAATTGTTTGAAGACATCTGGTTGTGGGATTTGAAGAATTGAGATGCATTTAGGATGGCAGAATGAAAAGTGTTTTCAATTCGTTGAAATAAACTGTATTTATGATGCATACCTATAGTCCATAATAAAGACGATTTGATTTGATTTGAAGGTACTTTTACTGTTACATTAATAGGACAGGGAAAACAGTCATTGATGACTCCGTTCTACTACTGAGATTTTTTAAACCCAAAAATACGTTGCCCTACCTGGGAATCGAACCCGAGTCCCGTGTGGCTGGCAGTCACATTTGTGACCATTCGGCCTACGATGCAGTCTTTTTTCAATCTTTAGCATAATTATATAAAAAATGTCCTGAATTTATGATCCAAAACAACGTTACCCTAACCCAATAACACTCAACCTCTCAGTATGAGATTCACGGAATATATGGTTTTTATAGATTTATTAAATTCATTTTAAGCTCTTCCGGGAACATTCGTTTAAGCCGTGGCACACCACTACATGTATCTTCTTATTGGTAGTTTCCATGCGAAAACAGTTATTTTAGCAGGAGAAACATTCTTACAGTTTAAAACGAAACTACACATCTCTTATATCCTGAAGGTTTAAAGTTTTGATGATATTTGCACACACATAGGTTTATCAGAGATCGCTGCTGGCCAGTCTCTGTCAAATATGGAGTCACATAGTTGACTCTAAAAGAAAATGTCTACAGTTGAAGTGTCTCTCTTCTTCATAAAAGAAGGGTTTTCCATAATCTCGACGATGAAAAGTTTAAGTTTAAAAAAACAGGTTACTCATAGAACGCTAAAAGTGGTAATTGGGCCTCCAGTAATCTCATGTCACACGACGAAACACAACGCAAGCGTTGTTTCACATCGACTTTCTGTGAGGTCGTGGTATCACTCCGGTCGAGCCGGCTCATTCGTGCCGGAGGATAGCTCTCTCACACTTGAAGTCCCTTGGTCGACTCTTAAGATATCGCCGAGAACAGTAAAACTGGTAACAAATATATTCTAATATTACAAAACATAACATCACGCCTTTTTTAACCCCGAAGGGGTAAGCAGAGGTGCACATTATGCCAATGTACAATGGAACGCCCACCTTTTACTATTATGTGACAATGTTACGAGTCCCATGTAATAGGGGTGAGCCTAATACTACGTGTCCCGTAATTAGACCATTCCTTAATGAAAACATTTTTTAAACGTTTCCCCACACTAGGATTTTCTCCTGTATCGTGGGTGCCTTTACAAAAACATACAAGTTCACATACACATGACACCCAGACCCGGAACAACAATTGTGGATAACATAAAGAGACTACTCGGTGCGGCAATCAAACCCGCGACGCCATGGGCGGCAACCGGTTGCCCTGCCACTGCGCCAACCGTGCCGTCATATAATTATTACAATACGTATGTAAGTCTTGAAGAGATTGCGTTATGACTGCATAATAATATGTTTTACTAATGAAGTGACAGTCGGCAGGTGTTCTCTAAATATATTCTTAGAGAAATGGCAGAAAGTATTCTCATTGACTCACGCGCAGATGTAGCTATATTATCATTATACGATTACGCATCATTTCATAATCTGTCTTTAAAAAAATCTAGAATCGATCCTGGCTCGTTGGTCATTGTCAGTTAGTTGCTTGTCATACTTCGAACACTATATACATATACCAGGTTTCGTGTTTCAACTGAAAAAAAAATTAAAATCTGAAAAATTTCCAATGAAACATCGTCCCGGAAATCGAACCCCCATCTTGTTGCTCCACAGTTAGAAAAACAACTGCAATTCTCAAACTCAACACTATTCCAAAAAATTACAAACTCCGATCAGCAAATACTTTGACTGACTCAAGAATCAAACCTCTTTCATTGTAAACAGCCAACCTCCTACCAAATCACCAAAACAACCCAGTAACACAACACCAGTCAGAGTGTAACATTCATTAAAAGTTGTGTTACAAGTAACAAGTAACGAAGTTGTTTGTTACAAGATTGGGTGTGTGTGTGCGTGTATGTGTGTGTGTGTGTTGTGTGCTCATGTATCGCGGAGTATGCGTACATAATACATTGATAATCTCAATTACTGACGGTAATGGTGTGTTCACATGCTAACAGGCCGGTGAATTAATTAATAATTCTCCATAATCCTTACTAATTACTATCCTTATCCTTACTAATATTATAAATCTGAAAGTGAGTTTGTTTGTTTGTTCCACCTTCACGCCGTAACTACTCAATCGATTGATTTGAATTTTTGCAGATGTAAAGTTAGAAGTCCGGATTAAATAATAGAGTACTTTTTAACCCGGAAAAATTTATATTCCCGAGGAAAAATAAAAGTATTGGTGCTGTGTGTATTAGTATATGTTACATAGGCTACTTTTTATTCTTTTGTGACGCGAGCGAAGCCGCGGGTAAAAGCTAGTAATATATATTTTGCAAGCCTTAATGACAGACAATCCTAGTTTGACGTTATTTAGTATAATTTAATAAAATAAATGCTTTGAATTTGGCCATTTGGCCTGCTGCTGTGCACATTCATCACCATCAAGACACCATCACTATTGTAAATCCCATAGTTTTCTCGTTAGATAATTCGATTGGTGCGGGTTTAATTCCCGCGCGGAGCATATGTACCTATGTGCACTTGTATGTTTGTAAAAGCACCCACGACACGGGAGAAAATCCTAGTGTGGAGCAACGTATTTTTAAAAAACAAATAAGGAAGAAAAGATGAGGTATTATTCAATATTTAGTACCAGGCAATTATGACCACGATTTGATACAATACAACTAATATCTACGAAATAAAAGTCCACGACTTTTTAGGTACAAATTTGATATGAAACTCTATTTCATATTTCATTACATTTTCCGGATTTTTCCCATATTTATGGTAATCGAAAATTTACATGTCCAAATGTCAGCTTTATAACTTATTCATTTATGATACTTCCACTGGTGCTTAATTATTTACAAAAAACACCCAGTGCCAACAAAAATGCTGTTATTTACAAAATATCCCTTGTTCGGTGTGAGTAAACATTTTTATAAACTTGCGAGCAAAGATGCGGAACCATTTTTTAGAGCGTTTTTCCATTTTATCTAACCCTAACTAAAAACAAAATCGTTTTGCAACAAAATGCAAACTGCCTTTCATACCACCAACGACTGCCTCGTTGGCCAAGTAGTCGCAATGTGACTGCCGGGCAAGAGGTCTCGGGTTAGATTCCCGGGTCGGGCACAGTACCTATTACTGGGTTTAAAAAAAAATCTCAGGAGTCTGGAATTGTACCCGTTATATGGCAAGTCAACGACAAGTCAAGTCAAAGTCAAAATAATTTATTTCAATTAGACCAGAAAGGCGTGAGAAAGGCACTATTGAACGTCAACAAAAAAAAATTAAAAGTGAAGCTATTTGCTCATTCCAAGGTGTAATAGATTGCAATAGATTCACCCCTATTACATGGGACTCATAACATAAATAGTTTAAAGTGGGTGTAACATTGTAGAGGTACAGTGGTATTAAGTGCCGGAATGTGCACCTCTGTCTTCCCCTTCAGGGATAAAAAGCGTGATGTTATGTTATGTTACCACGAACGCTAGTGGCTCCATTTGTTTGCTCCCAAGTGTAATAATAGTACGGAGAATGAAATGCTACCCCAATGTAGAGGTATATTAATTGGCTTAAGTCAAAAGTCTTGGTGATCATAACCTAGGTAACTACATGGTGCAGATCAATGTTACATTTAATTTTAATACCTGGTGACTCCTGTCTACTCCTTAAGAGAGCAAGAAGTTCCAACACAAGCCTTAAAGATATATTATAAGTAAATATTCTCGTCTGTATGAACACAGCCTTACGTGATAATGTAAAAGAAGATCACGCCATAACTTTGTCGTGAGTAACTGACAGAGGCGAGATACAGCGCGTATATGGAGCGTATACTGTGCGTACACTACGCAGATACAGCGCGTATACTGCGTGTGTACAGCGTGTCAAGTGTCCTTATCAACGTTAAGTATTACTGAGTAAATTATCACGTAGCACCATTACGTCATGAAATACTTAACGTGAATTTTGGGTACAACACGTACCCGTACGCGTTTTCTGATTTTAGAACGTGAATCTTCTATCTGTCTTCAGATTGAAACGTGGTGATGAGTAATATAATTTTTATTAATATATGATATGATTTTTATTTATTTATTTAGAAAATTTACATATATAACACTGCAGCTTACGCCATTAAGTTATACTGTTAATCTTATAAAAATATTATTATTTAGGTATACTTAAAAACAAACTAATTAGGTAATCAAATATAATAAATAAAAATATATAATATATATTATAAAAATCAATATAATAAATAAAAAATTAACAAGCCTGACGCTTGGTTTTGTTATATTATATTACATTAGATCTTAGTTTCAATCTTGAAATGAGATTTCAAGTCTGTTAAGATAACTGGTTAAACTGGTGCAGCTGGATAGTACTCACAAGTGGTGCATTGAACAAACCTTCAAAGCCACATCTTCAGAATATCTTGACGTCTGCTAAAAAAATCTTCCTTCACAAAAATATACCTCTTTCAATATATTTACAAGTTAATGTCTCTCTGCAGGTCAAGATGAGCGTGGTAGATGGCGGGGGGCCGGAGGCGCCGGCCCTCACTGCGCCGGCGACCACGCCTACAACGCCACCACCCACTGCCATCACCGCCGATGCCACAGGACAACTCATACAGGTACTATACAGTTTACTTACTATCTAACCTATCTTACTAATATTATAAATGAGAGATACTACGGCCTCACCGAAAACTGACGTGAAACCACGCTTGCGTTATGTTTCGTCGTGTGATTGAGGTTACCGGAAACCCAATTACCTCCATCGCCAATCCTGAATCCCCAACAATCCTCAAGTTCCTAATCCCCAAAAGGCCGATAATACACTTGTAACGCCTCTGCTGTTTCCGATGTCTATGGGCGGCGGCAATTGCTTACCATCAGGTGATCCATTAGCTCGTTTACCGGTTTATCCCATAAAGATAATCACATCAAAAATACTGAAGAGATCGGTATGAAATTTCTAATAGGGATGGACTGTGTGGAATAATATAGAGGGAACCCGCCCTCATTTTATCCTACGGAAACGCGGGCGAAGCCGAGGGCAGAAGCTAGTCTAAAATAATAATAAATTGAAGATGAAGAAAGTGTTTGAGGTAAAACACTCATTCAACACAAATATTGATGAAACTGACCTTTTGGTAAAAAGAATAATTTGGCATATAGAGGTACGAGCACCGACTATACATTAACTAGTATAAATAGTTATAACTGCATAGTAACTGCAGCGCCTGGAGAATCGACTGTAGGCACTACAGCGCACCATGTCACGCAGTCAATCGGTTTAGCACATAATGTAGTTGCCCAAAAACTGTGACCGCTATTCTACAATAGTACATTTACAGTACAAGTAACTATACATTAAAAAACTTCGCTAGCGACCTTCCTAGAGCTACTCTATCAGCGAACATCGTTTGAATCTCCGTGGAGATACAACACATAACTGCTTCAGATTCCAGATAAGTTCTGTCGTCAACACTGCAGCTTAAGCTATTCTATGTATCTATACATATAAATAAAATTAGAGAGTCTGTTTGTAATACGATATACATATCAAGATATATATATTACGATTTTTGTCTGTCTGTCTGTTTATTCTGGCATCTCTAAAATGGCTAGACCGATTTTGACGATACCTTTATTGGCGGGTAGCTGATGTGTTAAGAAGTAACTTAGGCTACTTTGTCCACGGGGAAACAGGGCTCCAGCTCAAAGTGCAGGAGTAGGAACGGGGTGGTTTTTAGTCAGTAAGAGTCTGACACTCCCTCTCGCCGCAGCTGGGCGGGAGAAGCCATTCGATGATTTTCTCCCCTCAAAAAACAAAAGCCTGGAATTTGTATGTTTATGAAACCTGTACCTCTAGATATATTTGTGGCTGTGAATACCATTTAGCCTACACCGTGTAGTTCGTGACAGGTCACCATCACATTAGTCAGGCAGCTGCATTTCATCCACGTACTACAAATTGGATTTACCTCGATCACGCCGACACCAAATTGGGGCTGGCAGATCCCTGTCAATATGCATTGACCTATATTCTGCCTTGGTGTATCGAAGGACGAAATTGAAAAATCGAGTTATTTAGTCGAAGTCTTGCGTATAGTAAATGTTTATTCTGGAGCCATGTAGTGACGGTAGAGTATAGAATAGAATCACAATTTACTAGTTCTTCTCTTGACGTGGGTGTCGTAACAAAGGACTAACTAGATATTCAAGAGACTGGATAGCAGCTCTGTGTTCTTTTTTAAGGGGGGAAAGCATCGAATGTATTCTCCCGCCTGAATGAGGGAGGGAGTGTCAGACTCTTACTGACTGAAAACCATCCCTTTCCTACTCCTGCACTTCGAGCCGGAGCCCCGGCAACCCATTATGCTCTTCGCGGCTTTGTATCGGCATCAGCCCTACTGTGTTAGACTTACGACCATTGTCTATAATCTATCTATCTGTAGATTTGCTTACTGAGATAGAATTTTGACATAAGCTCCATACAAAATGTGTCAAAATTCTATCTCAATAAGCAAATCTACAGATAGATAAGTTATAGAAAATGCCCGTAAAACTATTGAACTGCGATCTACAATCCGACTTCCAAGAATAAAGATTATAACAAATCCTCTTATGTAGACGAGATGCAAAGTACTGTAGTGGACAGTTGCAGGGTGTTGGTGTGTACACGCGCAGTGTGACAAATTACTTCAAGTCCTTCATAATTATTAAGTTTTTTTATCGAAATCGAATTGCAATCCGTAAACATTCAAATCTTCTGATAACTAATATGCTTTATTGACATTCGTCCAGCCTTTTGAGAAAGAACTCAATACAACGCTTGCGTTGCGTTTCGTCGTGTAAGTGAGGTTACCGAAAGCCCAATTCTACCCCTCTCCAATCTCTTGAATCCCCAACAATCCTTAAATTCCTAATCCCCAAAAGGCCGGTAACGCTCGTAATGCCTCTGGCGTTCTGGGTGTCCACGAGGGGCGCTGATTGCTAACCATCGGGTGATCCGTCTAATCGTTTACCGGTTTATCCCATAAAAAACAAACATAACATTACATTACATAACATCACGCCTTTTATCCTCGAAGGGGTAGGCAGAGGTGCACCTTATACCACTGTACAAAGTAACACCCACTTTTCACTATTAGTGTTATGAGTCCCATGTAATAGGGGGTGAGCCTATTGCCATATACCGGGCACAGTTCCAGACTCCGTCAAAATAATAACAATGTCTTTATTTTTACCTACAGGTCCCAGTCGCCCCCCGGAAGCCTCCCCGAAGAGGTCCGAAGGTCCAACAGGAGAGGCCAAAAAGGGCACTGTTCTGTCTCACCTTGAAGAACCCCGTCAGAAAGACATTCATCGACATCGTGGAGTGGAAGTATCCTTTGTACAATAACGAGAACAAATATCTACATTCCACGACATTCCATAAATCTTGCATTCACACCAAAAGGAAACTACCAAATAGGGTAGTTTCCATGGTAAGAAAATTTAAAATCGATTTAGTCCGTCAGTTAGATAATGAAAAAATATAGAACACGTATTTTTTATTATTTCGTATAAAGTGACAATACTTAAATAAAACGGCGTTAAATTTAGGAGTGGGAGGTAGTTACGTCATAACGTGGTACATTTTGTAGCACGCTGTGAAGTCACACGACATTTCAAATCAATATATTGTCAAAAGCATTTAATGTTGTGAGAAAAGAAAAAATACGTGTCTAATGTTTTATAATATTCTACCAGACGGACATTAAAATAAAATTTAGGAAACTACCCTATTCTCCTAAAGCCTAAACTGAATTTAATCAAGTTTTTTAATTTAAGTCTTAAGATCAGCAAACCACTCGTGGCCTATGGTGTTACAAGTATAGTAAAACTTTGATTGTTCTGGTTGTAATGTTAAAAACAATAAAAATTAGTATCGTTATTATAACATACCGTCCATCGTTAAAATTGGTTATAATCAATAACGATGTTTAATGAGATACCTACAGAGGAAAACACAGTTTACAATAACCATCAGTATAAAAAAATATCTCGTCAACTGAACTAATCTTTAGTAGTCACGTCCATGACCTGTAGACCAATAAATTGTATTCTAACCTTAACCTATTTATGAAATAGCTAGACTAGCCCACAATCCTAGATGTTACAATATTCAAACTAAACATTTAAACAAAATAATATATAAAAACAAAAAACGCAATAAAATTCGCTACAAAAGTAGGTCAATATTTTATAAAGATTATAAAACAAAACATAGACTAAATATATCCAACTACTTAGAAAATGTAAGTATGTTATTTTTTATTAAAAACTACTGAATAGATTTTGATGAAACTTGGTACAGACATGACATAGATAATCTGGAGTAACACACAAAGTAATTTAAGGATCAAAAACGCAGGTGAACCCGCTGTTACAAGCTGATATTGTAGGTATATATTTACATTACAACTTTGCAAATATTATAAAAATATAAAATGATTCCTTGAAAACTACGCTTGATCATAATATTGAGGTATAAATAATTCGCATGATCGATATATGTATTTAAAATCGATATTCACGGATGAACGGTTCTGGCTCCATGCCAGCTTTATGTCGTGGCAAAATAATTTAAAATCATAACCCGAAATATAAATATTAGTCTCCATTACGTATATTTATGGTTTTATGTAATTAACATAACTTCACGGCTTTTAATCTGCGAAGAGGTAGATGGAGGTGTCTCTTGTCTCTTGTCCAAAGCAGGTCAAAGCGTCATTTGAATTAATCTACATTAATAGTCCGTGTCAGTATGTTCTTCAGTGAACCTAGGTGCTCATTTCAAAGTGTAAAATCGTACGGAGAAGAACAAGCAATAAAATCCATTGCATAATAACGTTTTTATATATTTAATAGGATGGTTTTCGCCCACCATTCTTATATAAACTAATCGTCAAGCAAACAAAATACGTATACGTACCTACAAACATCAACGTTATTCCAATCATTGATCAGTAAGAATCTTATTTCTCAAACCACCAATATAATTCAAACAGCTCACACATAAAAAAGCCAAAGAACTATTTTATTTTCTCATCAGAATGTAAATCAAAAGATTAACACCGCAATATAAAGTGTGAAATATCACTTGTACATATTTTTCTAACTAAAACACAATTTTGAACGGAAATCTTCGGCCGTAACTCACGAACACATCGACAGACATCGTTATATGTATGTAGTTTAAAATTATGAGTTTTAACATAGCGCTATAACTAATATTAATTTGAAGCTATCTAATAAACCAAAGTCTCACTGAAATGGTATTGAAACAAGGGCTTATCTATCGTAACATTTTCGCATTGTTAAGTAAAAACGCGGGTTACTCACGTGAATATACTGAGAAAAGCTCTACTAGTTTCGAACCACAGAGGGGTTCTTCCTCATGAGCAACGTGCGCGGTCGCGGCGACGTCGCGCAGCTCACTTTCGCATTGTTTACAATTTTTAAACATCTTCATAGTCTTTTTTTTAAGGGGGGGAAATCATCGAATGACTTCTCCCGCCTGGATGAGGCAGGAGGGAGTGTCAGACTCTTACTAACTAAAAATCACCCCGCCTGCCCTTCGAGCCGGAGCCCCGGCAACGGCATCATCCGTAGTGATCTGATGGCTCTTTGAAGTGCGCGCGGAACGCGACGCGCCGTACGTTCCGGTACCTTCAAAGTCGTTTGTGGAAGAACAAAATACGTTATGTACAATATAAGCTTAATTACCTATGTAATTCATAACTGCAGATGAACAGCAACAATCGCTAATCAATTCAAACGACCCATTACTCATCAATACGCCAATTATGCTCCTACACGAACTTTCGAATGTTCTATTTAAAGTACGGTCACCCATCCATGAACAGACCGCAGCACAAACAAAGCCCACTAAAACGACTTAACTCGTTCTACCACAAGACAGAATTTTCTCAAAATAAATTAATTCTAAAAAAAATGTTTGAAAGTTAAAACTAAAATCAAAGACATTCTAAAAGATCATAAAAATTACTATAAACCCCACAAAACTTCAAAACAAAAATAAATTGTATGTAGGTATGTTCGTTTGTGAGCTATTAGGTATATCTGACGGAAGCAACACATTGGTACACTCGTAAAATCTATTCCTGGGTCGTGACTTCCTAGTTCCCTCGTGGTAGAAAGTCGTGAGTGAGATTCAAAGAAAGGAAAAGATGATGTACAGGTTATTGAGGAAGATAAAAGAATGCTAAAGGCCACCGGTGTGGTTTTTAATCAGTAAGAGTCTGACAGTCCGTTTTGTCCTCCCCCAGGCGAGGGAGCTACATGAGGATTTTCCTCTTTGTAATCAAATAATAAAGATAAAATAGTAGCGTATGTAAGAACTGGCGAAAAGCAAATCTAATACATAATGGGATGATAGGCACCATCTATCTTTATGGGAAAAAAGCACTGCCGTGTAATCTCCACAATTTCATGATTTTATAGCCAATGCAATCGAAAACTTAATAAGATTTATTAAGTTTAATTTTATCAACATTACCAGAAATAGGTTTTCAACATCGCGAGGCTTTAGGCAAGTTCACGAATAAATAAAATACAAAGATGCACTTCCAAATCATAGTAACACAGATGCAAAACTTAAACCTCGTGTTTCAGAACACCTAACAGTAATAGACCAGTCTCTGGCCACCCAAGAACAGTCAAAAATACCTTTATATCTGCAACTAAATAGTTCCACGCAATACTCAATTGCCGGTAATGGGTAAAAAAATTGGCACATACCCAACTAATGCCAAGAATGTATGAATGAGTGACACAAAAAATAGAAACATGGCTTCTATTTTGTGGGAAATTGGGACAACTTCGCGGTATGCCATTGTCAAGGGTCTCCGGGTTCAAATACCGTGCCAGTCATAGTTTTTTTATAGATGTTCTGGGAAATAGCAATAACGATTGAGTCATTGAGAGGGTTCAAGGTGATTTAAATATTTTTACGAGCACTGAAACAACACAGTGCTATGGCGATAAGGAATCCATTAAAATTGTGCTGCAGTTAGATTTATGAGCAATAACTGACCTCGTCCCACCTGGGAGAACAGTTGCTGCTACATTGATTTTTGCAATGTCTTAATTACTCTGTTTTCAATGTTCACGTCTACCAAAATAGTCTAAAGGTTTTAGTAATAAATGGAGTTTCTTGCTCCTTCTTCTCTATTTGAATCTAGATTTTGGTGAGAATACCTAGCGTCCCTAACGGGCAAACTGACAGATTATTATTTATTTCTTTATTTGTTGACGTTTCAAAAGTACGAAATTATAGTTTAATTGAAATAAATGCTGTCTTTTTAAATAATTTTTAAGACAATTTCAATTTGTTTTGACCCAATCCTACGGTGTAATGAGTAGATGTAATGATCTAGACAAATTACCTCGTTGATCGACTGATAACAAGCGGTTACCGTATTGAAAAACCGTTGTTTTTTTTAACTTAACAAAACAAACAACAAAAACAACAAAATTCTTGTTGCGATATCTAACGATACGTTTGAATCATAATATGACACTTGTTTAAAACAATACTTGTCAATAAACTTTTCATTAACAATTTACTTAAATTGTAATACTTATTACTTAAGCTTTTCATAACATATACCTATTACATAACATCACGCCTTTTATCCCTGAACCTGGCACTTAATGCCACTGTACAATATAATACCCACTGTTCACTATTTAGTTATGAGTCCCTTGTAATAGGGGGTGAGCCTATTGCCATATACCAAGCAGATTTCCTGACTCCGTACTTCCACTGAGATTTTTTTTAATTCCCAGCCTTACTTTGCCCGAACCGAAAATCGAACTCGAAACCCCTTGCAGTTTCATTATTATTCACTTACAAACTCATAATAAAATAATATCATTGATATTATCACCATGTTCTAGGAAGTCTCATCGCGTCTCGATGGGAACGAGATATTTTTTAATATAGCCGTCCACGGTACGATGGCCCGACACCCCGGCTATATTAACATCTTACACTTGAATAAATTTTGTAATATTTTCATTACCTGCATCTATTTTTGGATATTATTGAACAGGTAAAATGACTTGGTCGAGTTATTGAGAGTGAAGTCTGGGAAACGATCGGATCGGATAAAGTGTTATTTTGTTTTATAAATTTAGATACGTCCTCATCCTCTTTAACAATAGTATCTAACTAATATTATAGTTATAGTGGTTATACCAAGTTTAAATGTAGGAGAGCCATGCTTCGGCACGAATGGGCCGACTCGACTGGCGTGATACCACGGCCTCACAGAAAACCGACGTGAAAGCATTTGTAACGCCTCTGGTGTTCTAGGTGTTCATGGGCGACGCTGATTGCTTACCATCATGTGATCCTTCTGCTCGTTTTCCGGCTTGTCCAGAAAAAAACTACAGTTCGCGAGTTTGTATGTTTGTGTGAATGTTTGTGATCTGGAATAACACATATGCCAGAAGCTAATTGTCGCAATAGTTGCCTCAAAGTGGGGAGTACCTCAAGGTCCCATCTCTACTTTCCAATTTTAAGGAGCCTTTTAAATCAACACTGATTTCGATAAATATTGTAAGTGAAGACAATTTATCTAGAATGTATATCGAACTATTAGATTCATAGAAAATAATAGTAACACATTTCCCGACAAATTGTTCAATGTTCAATGCATCAGTAAATCGATGTAAATAAATCAATCCATCGAAATATGCTATTTAGATGATTCTTGGCACGAAACGTATCTGTACTACGACTGGTCTGAAATTGAACTATGTAGTTGCCTAAGAAACAATAGTATTGATATCTCATTCAAGTGATTACACTCTGTTTCGATAGAAATTTAAGTCTAAAAATTCGAGTGTCAATATGGCTGTCTGTCAGAGTTTAAATTGTTAAAAAAATTAGGTTTAAGACTATTTACTGCTAACATACTTCATGCCACATTTGATTTAAAGACGACTATGATATTATCATTTTAACTTTAAATATGTATAATGGAAGTAATAACACTTTCTAATAGAACCCAGTTATGTGCCCTGAGGTACACCACCTATATTGTTATTATCCCATGTATTCTGTGAATAGTTTTCTCAACTCAACCTCTCAGACCATTCGAGTACATGATTCTCACAACCATCTTCGCCAACTGCATCGCCCTAGCTGTCTACACACCATACCCGGCCAGCGATTCAAATTACACCAACTGGGTTCTCGTGCGTATCTTCATCTTTACTTCTACTGAGTTTAATAATAGTATAATTTTGGTAGAGCTAATAATAATCGGGTACTTTTGCAAAGTAATTGTCAATTTATACTTTTCAATCTTTCTGATATATGCTTTAGATAAAGTTATACCTCAGCTATAGCAGGCCTCTCTGCTTCTACACAATTCATACTGTGGGTTCGATTCTTCATTACAATAAATATTTGTATGATCTATTAATTAGATGTACTACAGTTTTGTTTATTTGTGTATGAGGAATTTACGTTTCCAGTTTTGGAATTCACTAAAGTAATTTATTTGTATGATTAACAGGAAAAAATCGAATACGTGTTCTTAGTAATATTCACGGGGGAGTGCGTCATGAAGATCATTGCTTATGGGTTTATCATGCATCCTGGCTCCTATCTCAGAAACGGCTGGAACTTGTTGGATTTCACGATTGTTGTCATCGGGTAAGTCTAAAAAGTATGTTCTTATAAAATACACAGTTAGGCATGCATCATTATCCATTATTTATCAGAAGATTATTATACAAATACACAACCACTGAACCAATGGAGCAGTGCAAAGATGTATTTACTACTAATAAATAACAAAATCAAAATCAATTAAGCCCTGTATGTGCCAGGAACATAAACAAATTCTCTTAAATCATATAACTGAGAACGGAAAATATTTTCACTAACATACTTGTACCATAATTATGGCCTACATAAATACCTAGATCTCAATTGCCTACCGCCACGAGGTACTATCCTTGCATTCCCAGAGAACAACAACCCATTAATTCTATACTTGCAACAGAATCACATTGCATATCAGCCAAATTATACCTATTTTCATATACCTTATCAAGACCACTATGTACTCTAACATTTGTAACAAACATTTTAGCATTTACTACTGCATCAAGTTGTTCATTGTTGGCTATAACGAACTCGCTCCCATTATTGCCAAACGCTATGATTGCTTCACCGGCTATTATTCTGGGAACATTGCTTTGCGAGTTTACTAGTACCTAATAGATTTTATGGCCTTTCCTACTCAATCTTTCAATCTCGTTACGTGGTAGTTAAAAGTAATTACTTTCTATTTTCCACGCTGCGCTATATGGTGACAGCTTAGTAGAATATATTATTCACCTCCTTGACTCTTTCCAAGGGTATCGTACAAGCAACGTTCTCTGATAAATCTGATCTTGTGTCTACAATCTCCAACCCACTTGTCAAGTATGTAGATTATGGCAAACCTCTCATTTGTAGAGGAGTCCGCATTCCAGCAGTCAAATCTCACGAACCATTAAGACATTGTTTATCTACATACCAAAGAATAATACAATCAAATTCACAAGAAATGAGTACTATATACAAAATCTGTAAGCATTATTTTCAACTCAACAAAAGATTAAATAGTAGGTAATAATATCAAGGTCCATTTGTCATTCAGAAACAGTGCACCAAGAAACCGAAGACAAAAGCAATAATTTATAAGATAGTCACATAATATCGTTTAACACATCCTTGTTCTCAATAGGAACTGGAGAAGCTATAACTACCGCAGCAGCAAGGATTCCTTCAGCTTTCATTGCAATATCAACCATACTAGCGGAGAATACAGTTAGTTTTATGATCAGGACGTCCGAGTTCTAGAATCTTTGAATCCATTATTGTAAAATAAACCGTACCTCCTGAAAATACAGTTGATTATAGATTTGTATCTTCAAATTGTGGGATATTTATATTTTCCAATATTTCCAGAATGGTCAGCACAGTGTTATCAAGTATATTCAAGGACGCGTTCGATGTGAAAGCTCTGAGGGCGTTCAGAGTGCTCCGACCGCTCCGTCTCGTCTCCGGCGTGCCAAGTGAGTCGATACTAATTAATCCTTTTATAAGATCACCCCCTATCCATATTCTAATAAAATACACCCAATAACCCCTTTGAAAGGATTAGGAAGTATGTGAAAAGATACGGGTTAGGAAAATTGATGACGCATTAGGTAGGTATGTCATGGATGGATGATTTAGAGGTACATTGTATTTTGAGTTTTCATAGTTGTGGAGAAAGTATACATTGTAGTTATGTATCGTTTACATTTACATAGTACTACTATCGATTTAAAAGGATTGAATGAAACTAAGACTAACCTTATAGCAACTTATAACTTTTTCATATTTGATGGGCCGACGTTTGGCCACTATCTCGCCTGATGGTAAGCGATGATGCGGTCCACGATGGAGCTTGTCTAGCTATAAGTAACCTATTCACGCGGGCTTTGAAGACATCCTGGTTTTACCCTTCAGGAAACACAGATTCTGGCAAAGAATTCCACTCCTTAGCAGTACGCACAAGGATGCTTGATGCGAAGCGCTTTGTGCGTAATTATCTTGTTATGACGAATTTCATTAATAACGTTATAGACAAGATTATGTGCTTTCAAATTGCATTAGATCGGCAAAAACAAGGTAGACTTTTTGTTAAACATGTAAGCTATCGTACGTCGTTGTATGGTAGGTGCAGTAGCTATGCTATGTAGGTTAGATAGATGCGCGGAACTTTAGGGCAAAGTTTTTATAAAAAATACAAAAACGCCACTTATATTACCCACGTTCCGACTCCAGGTCTCCAGATCGTATTGAACTCCATCCTGAAAGCGATGGTTCCACTCCTCCACATCGCGTTACTCGTCATCTTCGTCATCATCATCTACGCCATCATTGGGTTGGAGCTGTTCTCCGGCAAGATGCATAAGAGCTGCTACAACAAATATACAGGTAAAATCTACATTAGTTTTTATTACAGCTGTTGAAACATTTGTAAAATACTTTAGTGCTTCTAAACATTTTACTACGTTTACATTCTTGTTTTCATGTTCTTTTTTGTTTAAGAAACATTGAGAAATAATTATGTTGAGGAATTCGACTGCACACATTTCAAAAGTTATTGCCCAAATTCTTTCGAAAACTTTAAACATTTGCACTTTCCACAGATGAGATCATGGACACTCCTCACCCATGCGACGTCGACAATGGCTTCAACTGCTCCCAGATCGGCGAAGAAATGGAGTGTCGTGAAGGATGGATAGGCCCTAACTTCGGCATCACCAACTTTGATAACTTCGGCCTTTCTATGCTGACTGTCTTCCAATGCATCACCCTCGAAGGCTGGACTGATGTCATGTATAATGTAAGCTATTTTCAACTTTATTCATTAAGAGATAAGAGTCATTAAGGAATCGCTCCCATACTTATTTATGGCAAAAAACTTTAAGCGATTTTTTATGACATCGTAAACTTTATCATCATTTAATATCAAGCGTAATCGAGGTTATGAGTCTTCACTGAATTATGAAAAAAAGTATTTTTGTTTGATGGTAGGTACTCATTCACAGATTTGGAAACGTTTAATAAACGATGATATTTTTAGTAGCCGTTTAGTAGCCTAAGTAGTTTTTTTAGTAGTATATGGCTTGCACTTCATTTAAGCCATTACTTTTTCAGTCTTTGTTGACCTCGTCTAGATGAATGGAGACGATTTCAGTTGCCATTTTGTCTAGTACTCTAGGGTCCCTTTAGATGTTCTCGCAAACGCATTTCAAGATTTTAAACTCATTGTCTAAGTCTCTTGATTCATTCATTGTTCGGAAATTATATTTAAACACTTACACTATACACTTTCAGATACAAGATGCAATGGGCAACAGTTGGGAGTGGATCTACTTCGTGTCGATGGTCATCTTGGGCGCATTCTTTGTCATGAACCTCATTCTCGGTGTGTTGTCTGGGTAAGTTAACGAGACGTATTTGAACACGAGTGTTTACTACGCTTAACCAATCCAATACTTAAATATTCTTACAATCCATAGTTAAATACTACATCATTACAAATAATGAACTATTGTGTATAAGATAACAATTCAAATTTTCAATAAAAAATAAAACAATCATGTACGATGCTATAGTTACGGCCGAGTACAATACATTTCTCACTATGCCTGAGTCACAAGATCCCATCAAGGAAATGAATATTTAACAGAGAAAAAGTTCAAAACATCTTTCACTGATTCCATTGATAACATTTCGATTACAGAGAGTTCTCCAAAGAAAGAGAGAAAGCAAAAAACAGAGGAGATTTCCAGAAACTTCGAGAGAAACAGCAGCTGGAGGAAGATCTGAAGGGCTACCTCGACTGGATCACGCAGGCAGAGTACCTGGAACCACTAGCTGATCAGCATGAACACCATCCACCTGTAGACCAAACCAGGGACTATGGGATAGGTGAGATATCAGGTGTAGATATTATATTCTTATTGAGTGATACAATGGACAATAATACTCTTTTTTGGAAAGCAATTCAAACCCCAACTCAAGTTAAATATTGAGTTAATATTCACAATGATACAAATTGATGTTATGAATGCTAAAGTAAGTTTGTTTGAGGGTTTACTTTTGAGGCATATAACTCGAAGGAAATTTAAATAGATTAATATAATTACAGGCATAAATATGATTCTAGACACTGTAAGAAAGATAAAACTGTAAAATATAAAAAATCTCACTGTAATGAATAAATTTGTTTCAGAATACATTTCAGGTCAGACGCAGAACGAGCATGACTCGACAGACCATCTGGGCATAGAGACGAACGAACAACAGAAAGTATCTTTTTGCAAAGCGTGGAAGAAAGACTTTGACAAAGTAAGTAACAGTAATCACATATTCCATGCGACGCTGCAGAGAAATATCTGGTTATAAGGCCTATATTCTATTCTCAAGCTTGAGAAGAAGAGTAGAAGCTAATGATTTCTTTAGATAACCGGCAAAGGCGTTTGAGTAGATGATCGAACTCAAAATCATATATTTTATATTTACAGGTGAACCGTCGAATGAAGCGCGCGTGCAGAAAAGCTGTGAAGTCCCAAACTTTTTACTGGCTGATCATAGTGCTGGTGTTTCTGAACACAGTGGTACTGGCCAGCGAGCACTATCAGTGAGTATCAGAACAAAATAAAGTATAATAAATAAGTACGGTTTAGGGTTTCAAACCTTCTTCCTAAACTTTTAGACTCGTTATTAAAAATAGCCACAATAAAGCTAATTAAAATAGGAATGATTCATCTTGGCCAACTTCAACATTGAGGATTATGAAAATATAAACTTTATGTTCGCTAAAACCGATTCTTTTCTCAATTCCAGGCAGCCAGAGTGGTTGGATCTCTTCCAGGAGTACGGCAACGCGTTCTTCGTGGCTCTGTTCACGCTGGAAATGTTGGTCAAGATGTACAGTTTAGGTTTACAAGTAAGTAATCTTTATATCATGATTTATCTGTCTATTATTATCTTCTTTTAATTATTCAAGACAGTTACAATGTAGCCAACTTCATCGAACATGACAATTCAAGTTCAATTCTCGAAATGATAACTTTGGGAAAATCTTAATAAACGCACTAAAATTCTAGAACGATGTTTCGCAACAAACTACCCTTCGATGGGTATAAAACACAGTAAGTAATAGCTCTGCCACATTAAAGAATAGAAGAACAATACAGAAACAAAAGAGATAAATTAAGTACTAACTCTCGATGTTCACACCCACTGCAACTAACCCGTGCTTGCCACCTCGCTTTCGTTGCTGTCTCTCTTCCAGCAGGCTTCATTATCACTGTCTGCCTCCCGGTCAAGTTGCCTCCTAACATGTTCCAGGGTTATTTCGTCTCTCTGTTCAACCGCTTTGACTGCTTCGTTGTCATCGGCTCCATCAGCGAGATGGTGCTCACTAAGACTGAAGTCATGCCTCCTCTGGGCATCTCCGTGCTGCGCTGCGTCAGGCTGCTCAGGGTCTTCAAAGTTACCAAGTAAGTCATTATTACAGTTTTATTTCGCTAGTAGAAGTTTTAGAAGTATAGATAAGCAGGGGATTTTAGTTTGATCCACACCACTAAGGCGTTTTACACCATTTCTAATTATCTGAAGTCAATGGATCATTCAAACTTTGCGTAATTGCCTAAATAATTTTAAAAAGTCGTGTCATTGGATCAGCATGATTGTCACTTAAGGATTTCTTTCTTTTTTCAGATATTGGCGCTCACTCTCTAACTTAGTAGCGTCACTCCTGAACTCCATTCAGTCAATCGCGTCTCTTCTGTTACTGCTGTTTCTGTTCATCATGATCTTCGCGCTGTTGGGGATGCAGGTTTTCGGAGGGAAGTTCAACTACGATCCAGTGGAGGAGAAGGATCGACACAACTTTGATTGCTTCTGGCAGGCACTGCTGACTGTGTTTCAGGTATTTTTTTAAACGTTGCCTTACAGTAGGATGATCTCTTGCGTCGTGGGTGCACTTATAAACATAGGCTAGTTCTAGCCAAAATAATAAATTAGCAAAACATGTCATAAAGATATTCTAGATGTAATTTAAATTTAAATTGAGTGAAACAAAACCTCACTGGTATTATGACCTAATCGTCTTAACAAACGTTGCTTCCAGATCTTAACAGGTGAAGATTGGAACGCAGTTATGTATGAAGGTATCAAAGCGTATGGCGGTGTGGGCACACTCGGGATCCTCGCCTGTATTTACTTCATCATTTTGTTCATATGTGGTAACTGTATCCTTTTCAAAATCACTAAAATTTCAACAATAGTTACTAAAGTAGTAAAGTAGGCTAATAGCAACAGCGCCCGAATTTTAAGTTTAAAAACGTCAATCATAATCGAATTGTCAGATACGAGAAAATAAAACAGATGAAGTGATAAAAGACTGAAAAGCCATGAATGATAATGCAAATTTGGATTAGTAATATTTTCCTAAACTACCCTTTGTTCAGACATCCTCCTAAATGTGTTCTTGGCCATCGCTGTAGACAACTTAGCTGATGCAGAATCACTGACCAACATAGAAAAGGATGAGGCAGTAAGTATCAAAGCATTTCCAGCTTTAAGTCTATTGACTTTTTACTTAAATTTGAATAATAATAATTAGCAGGCACCAGAAGAGAAAGAAGGTGGGAGTGTGGTAGCGGCTGAAGGAGTTCATATAGATACTGATGACGAGTACATTCATGATGACGACGTGTATACTTCGGATAAGTAAGTAAACAATACTGCAATAGATGATAAACTCTTAACTAACATAAATACAACTACCATGTTCAAAGTAACAGGTACACAAGTACATGTGGTGAACAGATAAAGCAAAAAAAAAGTATACAATTAATAACAGGTATCACTAATTAATTCTATTTTTCCAGCTCTGAAAGAGAATACGAAGAAACAGGGTCAGAAGGAGAGCAACAAGATGAGATGGAAGGAGAAATAGAGGAGATCATTGATGAAGAAAACGAAGGCAATGAAAGAACCGAAGAGGAACAGGAGCGAGAAGACCAGGAGATGATGGAAGGGCATCAAAGAAATCATATAGGTATAATTGTTTTAGGTGTTCAGTTAGAAGCATTCAGTAAACTTGACAAAAACTATGGGGATGTGGCTAAACACTTCTGTTGACAAGGGAAATAGTGAAACTAAATAATTATATTTCTTTTCTTCTTGTTTAACTAAAAGCAAATTAATATAGAGACCAGCACAAGTAATACTAATATGGGGACAACAATGGGATTTAAAGTACAAAACATTATTGTAATAAATGTAAAGAAAATAATAAAATTGCTGTACAAGCCGCCAGAACTGGTGCAACCAATAATACAATAAGCTAACCAACCAAAACAGTGAACACAGAGTTGGAAGAAGAGCCTCGACTGAAACGTAAGCCCACGACTTCGTCGGCGCGGCCGCGTCGCCTCTCCGAGGTCGATATATGCGACACTAAGAAACCCATACCCGATGCCACCTCCTTCTTCATATTTACTAAGACCAACAGGTTAGGGGGGGAACCAACGATTAACAGAAACTTATTAGATGTTATTTTTTTACGTATTTTGTTTATATATTTGTCTTTGATCGTTTGGTATTTGCTAAGTGCTCATGACGCTGAATGCTTTATTATGATTCAATTTCTTCTGTTCCTTGTTCCTCATTCGTCATCTTTAGGATCTGAACACCGAAACTTACGTGTTTTCGTCTCATGAGGTGTAGGATATTAGACCATGATTTCATTGTTTTGAAGTCTTTATTGTTTTGCTGATTATTCTATTTTGTACTTTATATTTTATGCGTCATAAGCACAAGTTTTATTTTGCCAAAATATTATTACTTTCAATAAAGAAAGGACACTATCAAAGACAAATCGGTTTTCTACTTTACGCCTTACGTCTTTCTCTTCTTTCAACTTAATTAATTATTATTATTAAAAATTAATTTATTATTTACCATTTCTACACATTTAGCTAATTTCCACACTTGTGTTTGCGTTTAATTAAGCATTATAATATTTACATGATATTTTAGTTGAGGCATTCTAGGTACAGGGATTTCGGCATGGTCAATAGCGATAGCGAGACTATTGGTAATCATAGGATTAAACTAACTTTAGTGCTAGACGATAGTGTAGAAAATTCTGTCATTTTCCTTCACAAAGATGGCGGCCAATCTGAAGAAGAGGGAACACTGGTAACAGCCAGACCACGGCGAGTGTCAGAACTGAATATGCCAAATCAGACGCCGCCTATACCCAACGCTAGTAGTTTCTTCATATTCTCACCGACGAACAGGTGAATGGTGATGGTCTCATCACCTGGTGGTACCCATGTCTCATTGTGTCGATTGGCGTTGTGTTGTCCTTGCAGTGATTGGCATTACATATCATCGAATGTGACTGTCCCTGTCTGTTGGAAACTGTATCTCCTTGTAGTGTATCCGTAACCTACTCCAGAGGACTCTTCCCTCAGTCTACTCATTTCTTTATTTAGATTCATAGTTTTGGCCTTAGAAAAATTCTTCAGTTTACCTATTTTCGATTTAATTTCACGTTCACCTGAAACGATTACTAAATATTCTGGTGGATGAAAACTTCTTTTCATTTTATGTTCTTCAAAATTTTTAGTCCTATGCGTTTTAGTTTCTACCACAGTACCGTTTCCAACATCATATTGTTCATTCATGTCCCTCGTGGTGCACGAACATTATAACCTCCATTGTGTGGAATAATCAAAATTAGATGAAACTATTTCTTCCAGCAATGAGTATAGTGGGTACCGAGATCTGTGTTTCCCATTAGAAGTTAGGTATGTTTGTTTAGATGATAGGTTTCAAAGCATGACCTGAAATCCCTTAGCATTATCAACGATTTGGAGTCTAATTTTGGCTTGTAGCATTCATGTTTGAATATTGAGCATGTGAACGTGTCCATGCATGATTGTGGCATGGATGCTCCAAGCCAAAGCTGACAATTCAAATATTTGTTACTTGAATTTGTTGCATGCATGCATGATGTGTACCGTATTATATTTATTTGCGTGATTTTAATGCATGTGCTTCTATCACTGATTTTTGTAACACTGTGTCTAGAATATATGTGTATATTGTGTGTTATATTATATGTATTTGAAATACACATCAGAATTAAAATTGAAGTTCTGACTACTTCTTTTAAGTCAATCCAATTTGTTACTGTTAGATTCATTAAATCTGTTTTGAGATAAACTTGAATGAATAAATGATGTTTTTTATTGGAATAGTTTAAATCACTCTTGTTGTTATCTTTTTGATCATTTTCTGGTGTGTTTTCTCCTACATTTATATTTTCATCATCAACAACTGACACATTGCCTCCAATACTAGGTTCCGAGTGTTTTGCTACAAGATGTCATCATCTTCCACCTTTGGGAACATCATTCTGGTCTGCATCATGCTGTCTTCCGCCATGTTGGCAGCTGAAGATCCTTTGGATGCTGCACAAAAAGGATTTCGAAATTGGGTGAGTTTTAAACATTTCTTGAGTTGCTCCGGGTTCAATCCCATAGTGTCTATTAATTCTCAAGAATTTCGGTTACTGCACTAAGTTTGGATCGTGAATATCGCAATATTTTTAGACGTTGCAAAAAGATATTGATGGCACAGTTTCATATTAATAGTTAATTTCCATGTTCGGTGTTAACTTCCAGTTGCTAAGTCAATTCGACGTGTTCTTCACTGGTATCTTCACGCTGGAGCTGTTCCTGAAGCTGGTCACGTACGGGCTGCTCCTCCACGAGGGTGCCTTCTTGCGGTCCGCCTTCAACGTGCTTGATATGCTCGTCGTCTGCGTCTCGCTTGTCTCTATGAGCTTTAAGTACGTCATCATTTAAAATAGACTTTATGACAATAAAAAGTATATTAATCAAACGTTATTTATATGATCATTTTTGAGTGGGTATCCACAATAGATAATTTAAAAGAATCCGTTGAATACAATTCTCAAATGACCTCCGCTCAGAAAGGAGAGGAGTGCAGCCTAAATTGTAATATTTTTTTAAACACTCCTTAGAATTAGAATTGTTTTGGTTTGCTTCGTTAGATTTAGAAAACAAATATTCTACAGTTAGTTTTCTCTAAATTCCAGGTCGGGTAGTATATCGGTGGTGAAAATATTGCGAGTGTTTAGGGTGCTGAGGCCCTTAAGGGCTATTAACAGGGCCAAGGGCCTTAAGGTCAGTAGCAATATTTATTAATTTACTTTTTAATTGAAGTTTATTATAAGATATTTCAGACAATTATGTAAAAGTATTATTATGATTATTAACTCAGATACAATAAAGTTCTGCTAAGACGATGACTTAATAAACCATGGATGCGTTCTTAAGTTACATGTCGTTAAAATAGTGGCAATAATTTTTATACGTGGTCGGCAACACACTTGCGATGCCTCTGGTGTTGAAGGTGTCCGCTTACTATCAGATTGCCCGTAACTCCTATTGCTACTGACACTCTGATAAAGAAATCCAAACATGCCTAATCTGTCTCATTTTAGACGAGAGCCCAATTGCTGAGTCAGAGAACATCTGCTACGTTTTTGAACCACGTATTCATGTTCTATTACGACATCGTCTAAGAAAATACAAAGCAAGAACTAATAATTTCAACTTGATTAATTATTTTGACACCTACATAATATTTATGATAGTAAATATGATTTTTCCGTGATTGTAGCACGTTGTACAATGTGTGATCGTAGCCATCAAAACTATCGGCAACATATTATTGGTAACATCGTTACTGCAATTTATGTTTGCCGTTATGGGAGTGCAAATGTTCAAGGTAGGGGGCATTAAGGATCATAGTAAGTTAAGGATCAAAGTCCTACAAACTCTAAGGATCATTATCCTACAGATTCCAAGTCTTGTGTCACGAGTGAATACACATTCTCATAATTTTAATTGTCACCAATATAATGCCTTCAAATCTTTAATACACCTTTGGGTCCCAGTTTTTAAATTCCACATCCTTACTTTTTTTCAATTTTTTTTTGTTTTGTTTTTTTGCTCATTTCTCATGATTATCTATTTTTTTGGTATTTTATTATTGTAATCTCTACACTTGTTACATTTGATTGATAATTATCACACTGAAGATTTACAAATTACACGTGTGATTATGTAATATTACAATTTATATACACTTTTTTATGTAATATACAGCTTATGTATTCATGAGCGTATATAAAAACAAAGCTTATTACACATTATTACGTATCATTTTAAGCTTAAACTAACTATTGTGCTAATAATTATTATGTAAGCTAATTCAGCTGAGCTTCCATAAAATACATACTTGGAAAGCTTTGCGATTTTACCCTTATTATTTATGTTGTGACATGCTTTACTTTCGTTCCTATTTTCATAAAATAAAAATCTAATCATTTAAGGACGGAATTATAAAATTAGCATGTACTTTATAGGAGTAGAAATTATAGAGAAAAGATTCAATGTCGTCAAGTAGAAGCATGAGACCATTAATGAACCCAAAGGTGTAGAATGTGATGTGAGACCATTAGTTGACTAATTCTACCCAAGTTAGAAGTCATAACCGTTCCCCCTACCTTGGCGTCTTGGTGAGGAGTTAAGTCTAACCTTAGCGTACGTCCCTACGGTCCTTGTACGAAGTCCTATGTGATTAAAAAGAAATTTGCTTGTCCCCCTATGTGCCCGTGGCTGCGTGATGGACTCGGATCCCTCCCCTGGTAACGTATGCCCCGACAACTAACTCATTGCCTCCTCTAACAGTACGTGGTCAAGTGTGTGATAGTAGCCATTAAGACTATAGGAAATATTATGCTAGTTACGTATTTATTACAATTTATGTTCGCTGTGGTCGGTGTACAGTTGTTTAAGGTGAGCTTTGGAACGTTTTGGTGGTAGTTCGAGTTGATCTTTTTACTTAATTTGCCTTTAACGAAGTAAAATGTAAATCTAAAATTATTTTTGAATAAAACTCTGCCCTAATAGTAACCTAACTATTGTAAAAAATATGCGATTCAGTGAAGCCGTTCGCGAGTTAAACGCATACAAACTTTTCGACTGAACATTTTTATTTGTACAAATAATATCACAAGGCAATTAAGTTCGAAGATCTAAATAGCATGGTGTTTAGATGTCCTAACTATGTAACCAATGTCGCATGTCTCTAGTTAGTTATACAGCTTGTAGCAATAAGGGTGTCATTATATAGATCATGTGATTACCATCTCTACAATAACATTGACATTTGTATATAAATATTGGGCAAAATGTACATATATTATTATATGCTTCTATCATGAGAAATGGGTTCATTGACTTAGTAAATAAATGGCCATTTAGTGCTCATATTGTTTTGATGTCGTGGCATGCAACTGATGTAGTTTTTTTTTTATTATTTTCGTACCTGATTTAATCGCTGAGGTATTTGTTTCAGGGCAAATTTTTTAGATGTAATGATATTTCAAAAATGACAAAGGATGAATGTCAGTAAGTACATTTTTTTGTATATATTTAGTTATAATATTTGATGGGCCGACGTTTGGTCACTATCTCGCCTGGTGGTAAGCGATGATGCGATGGAACACGTCTGCCTATGAGTAATTTTGAAAAGTAAATACAGAATCAGAATACAGAACTAGATATATTTTTATCTTGATACCCACAGAGATAATTATGTTCTAAATAAATTGACTAATTGACTAAATGAATTGACTGCATGGTTGGTGCGGTGGCTGGGCAACCGGCTGCCGTGCACGTGTCGCGGGTTCGATTCCCGCACGGAACAACACTTTGTGCGATCCACAAATTGTTGTTTCGGGTCTGGGTGTCATGTATATGTAAACTTGTATGTTTGTAAACGCACCCACGACACAGGAGATAATCCTAGTGTGGCGCAACGTTTTAAAAAAAGTCCCAAAGTTTTAGTCGGTTGCAATCTAAACTTAGTTAGAACTACAGATGGCTTATTTTAGGATTGGCCGCCAATGAACCAGAAATCAGAGCGCCGACCGTGGTCTCGTTGCGACCTCGTCAAACGTATAACTCGTACTAAGCCCTCAGGAACGAAACACTCAATTATCCTCAATCAAGAATCAACCTAGAGCCGTCTTGCAGACCTGCTCGAGCTGTAGCCAAATGCCACTTAACGCTTGTCTACATGTAGAATAGAAAATCAAATTATATGGAATTGACGTAAATTTTGACACTTGTCAGTGTCATCCCCATACATTTTGACTTCTACTCTCTCTGTAGACAAGCGCTAAAGTGGCGTTTGGCTAAAGGCCCTGTGCCTTTGTGTATGGCGATGTATGGGGATGGTATAAACTAAATGTATGAGGATGATACTGACAAGCGTCAAAATTAATTACTACACGTAGACAAGCGCTAAGTGTCATTTGGCTAAAGCTGCTGTAGACATTAAATATTTTCTGTACTTGACATTAAGACTTTGACTGCCAATAAAAAACTGTTGAAGTAAATCCTCCGCTACCGCCGGTCACCGGTGACCCCCATGGCGTTTAACGTGTTAATTAAGATTTTTAATAAATATGAAATATTTTTCAGAGGAACGTATTTAGTGTTTGAGAATCGCAACTATTTGGTGCGGGACAGAGAGTGGACGCGGTATGACTTCCATTTTGATAACGTCATGAAGGGCATGCTCACACTATTCACTGTGTCTACGTTTGAAGGATGGCCAGGGTAAGGATTTATTATTCTATACTCATAGATGCAGACAATAAGTACTTATTCAAGTAAAAACTGAATATAGCAACACCTATCAGACGAGGAAAGCCTTTTCACCAGCTATGCTTAAAGTCTCATGCATGAGGCTTGTCAAATTCAAATTCAATTTTTTATTGCAATATATCATGTGTACAACAGGTTACATAATAGGGCACAGTTTCAACATGAAACCCGGTTAGGGCACGGCAACATATAGATCAAAATAAAACCAAATTAATTACTTTTAAAAGTGATTATTTTCATTCTAAATAAATATTTTTTTTCCTTAAATTTATTATAACATGTATTTATATCTGCCTCGTTGGCCGAGTGGACGCAAGTGCAACTGCCGGGCCAGGGGTCTCGGGTTTGATTCCCGTGTCGGGCAAAGTATTACTGGATTTTTACAAAATTCTCAGTAGTAGCACGGAGTCCAGAATTGTGCCCGGTATATGTGACAATAGGCTCACCCCCTATTACATGGGACTCATAACATAAATAGTGAAAAGTGGTGTTACGTTGTACAGTGGCATAATGTGCACCTCTGCCTACCCTTTAGGGAATAAAAGGATGTTATGTTATGTATTTATATCCGAGTGTCCTATACACCGAGCAGTTTCAGATTCCTTGCGATAACTAAGACATTTTTGAAAACCGAAAAAAGTGCAATATTACTATGCTCCACCTTGGAATCGAACCTGAAACCACTCGCTCGGAAGTAGAACTAGTAAAATGACCAGCCATTATAAATTTAGTTATTTGAAACTGTTTGTTCCAGGTTGTTGTACGTCTCTATAGATTCGAATGCTGAAGATCGAGGTCCCATCACCAACTTCCGTCCAATCGTTGCAGCCTATTATATTATTTACATTATTATTATTGCCTTCTTTATGGTAAGTGTTATTATTTGTGCAACTAGTAACATAGTCTCATAAGATGCCGTCATCTACATATCAGCTATCAGCTGCTGAACATGGGTCTCCCCTAAAGACTTCCAAATCAGCCACAGTCCTGTCCGATGAACTAAAGCAGGACTATGAACGATCTTATTATCATTTCTCTTCATCTTCCTTGGATTGTCGATTTGAATCCTTTTTTTATTTAAAATAAATAGTTTTCTAACGCAATGAGATTTAGACACATCAACTTTCTCAATTAACTAAAAATCGCGGGTTAATGGCATGGAAATACTGATAAAAGCTCTACTAGTTTCGAACCACAGAAGGGTTCTTCCTCATGAGCGCCGCGGGATGTCGCGCAGCCTCCTGGCTAGCGTTGGCATTGTTGTTATTATAAAAACGTATCAATTTTCTCAATAAACGTATAATTTGATTTGTAAATTCTTTCAGGTAAATATATTCGTCGGTTTCGTCATAGTGACGTTCCAAAACGAGGGTGAGCAGGAATACAAAAATTGTGAATTAGATAAAAACCAGAGAAACTGCATAGAGTTTGCGCTGAAAGCTAAACCCATAAGAAGGTAAGTAGAAGATTTGTAGGATACTTTTTAATTCATCAAGTAATAGTAGAAAAACGAAGCAATTGCAACTGGAGGTCCTTTACGGGCACAAAATACAGACTCCATTGTCTCAACGACTTAAGTAGAGTGATTTTTGGTGTCGACATTGGACAAGAGCATCGATCTTGTACATATAATTACTAAGTATTTCAAACATCGAAAATCCCAAAATCTTTGACTAACCTAGAGATTCAACTTACTAGATAGAACAATTTTCATTGGTCCCATCTTTTATTCCACAGATACATACCAAAGCACAGAATACAGTACAAAGTATGGTGGTTTGTGACGTCACAGCCGTTCGAGTACGCCATCTTCGTGCTGATCATGATCAACACCATCACCCTCGCCATGAAGTACCACAACCAGCCCCATGAGTACAGCAAGGCTCTCGACTTGTTGAATATGCTATTCACCGCTGTCTTTGCCTTGGAGTTCATTTTCAAACTTGCTGCTTTTAGATTTAAGGTGAGTTATTGTGTCTTCATCGACCTCTTTAGCTTCTAAGTCTAAAGATTTGTTTCTAGCCTACCTTATAGGTTGTGTGAAAGAAATTGTCGTAGAGATAAATGCTGGTTACAAAGTGATTTGTTTGTTTATGCCAATATTCTTCTCTTTTCTTCAAGTAAATTATAACTTTCTTCATGTTTATAAACTATAAACGTTTTCTCAGAAACATTATCACCGAGTAAAATTCCTATTTCTTCCAATTCTCTTAAGTACCTAACAAGACCATTCTCCTTTCTACAACCAGAACTTTACGCTTTACATTTTCTAAATCAGTCTATTTGTCCCTAATAAAACTTTGATCAATTCCTTATTCTTCTTCCTTATCTATATCATACTAATCACCACAATATTCGTACAGAACTACTTCGGTGACGCTTGGAATACCTTCGACTTCATCATCGTCCTGGGCAGCATCATTGACATCGTTGTCTCCCAAGTAAACGAACTCAAGAACCAGGTAACGGCACGGAGCACTCTTAGATATACACTTCTTAGAACAACACTTTCACTAATGATGTCTGTTTTGGAGTGACCAAATTTCAGTACCACTATTTTGTTTAGAAAAATTTAATGTCTTTTGTGGTAAAAAATCTTTGAAATTATCTTCGGGTGGTTAATTCTTAAGCACAATACATGAATGAATGACTCAACGCCATCAAATCAAGCTGAATATCTTGAACATGATCAGAAAACAATAAGCTATAACTCTCTTGTTGCTAATCAAAACTTGGTCAGTCCAAAACCCAGATATCATAGTTACTGTCCCGAGCATGGACAATTATATCGATGTTGTAATAACAGCAGATGCTAATGCTCACACTTACGATGTACCTGATGGACCCATTGAAGACGCTCGTGTTGATTTCAGGGAAGTGGCATAACTAGGACACACGTTGTTAAGGTAAGATACGCTTTAAGCTAATTGTTTTAACGTCGAAATTTATAAACGCCTTGTGATCATAAGCCATAAAAGACAAAGTAAAATGAGCTCTATTAAATAAACTTAAGGTTGTTAATAAAAGATCAAAAGACGTTTACAACATCAATAGAATAGAATTACTAAAACAGTAAATAAAATAAACACCTAACAAAAACAACACAATGGAAAACCCGCACTGATTTAGACTTAGATAACAAAATGATAACAACAGCTTTTAATATTGTATGATACAAAGCCAATAACGATGATAATGGTGCTTTAGATGTGTGCAATGAAAAACTTTGGGACAGTAACGCTATATAAGATGTATTATTAAATAATGCTCCTGGTGAAGGGAGGGACGACACGGCACAAGTGCACAACACGCACTCAACAAACAAAAGGCAAAGAGTAGAAGCTGTAATAAAACTGCTTGAAATCCAGCAAGAAACTAGAAAATTATAATCACAAGGATACGTAGTTGTTACATTCAAAACATTATAAGTAACACATTCATACAATCACTTGAAAAATTGAGATAGTCATAAGAATTCTATTTCACACACATTTACACTTATTACATTATCGAAATAAGGTAAGTATGAAGCGCTAAAAATAAGTCAACATTTGCTTCAGATATAATCATTATTATTTAATGAAAAATCAAACAACACATATTGAAAAAAAAACTTGTCGTCAACAGCCCAAGCTGTGGGGCTAGGAACAAAGCAATGCATTTCGACCAATGAATTATTAATGGTTCAAAAGCCACACTTTTGTCAAGTTCATCAACTTGGTTCGTTTAAATGGACGAATATTAAGACACAAATATTTTATCGCTTAGTAGATAGATTGTCTAGGTCAGTAAGTGCTTTTCTATATCTACAGCCATTCTAATGTCGTTGAAAATAGCGTACCTACAGATAAAAATTATAAATAAGCCACTATTTAAAAACTACACTTATTGACTACACTAAAAACTAAGATCATACATACATACATACATAACCTCACGCCTGTCTCCCGTGGGAGTAGGCAAAGACTATGAAAATAAATACTAAGATCAAAAACTATAACATTGCAGGAAAGTTCAATACCCTCGATAAACTTCTTCCGTCTCTTCCGTGTCATGAGGCTGGTGAAGCTTCTATCCAGGGGTGAGGGTATCAGGACTCTTCTCTGGACCTTCATCAAGTCGTTCCAAGCACTGCCCTACGTTGCCCTGCTGATTCTCATGCTGTTCTTCATTTATGCTGTCGTTGGGATGCAGGTGAGGAACAACAATATTTCTCAGCTTAATTTTGACATCATCTAGACTACACCTATTATTTGTAAATTGATGATGATTTTTGAAATTATGTCCCAGGATTGTAGTTCGGCGTGGTAGACCATTTGCTGCAGATGATGATGATGATTTTCCTTATTTATGTATTTGCAGGTATTCGGAAAAATAGCGATAGACGATGACTCACCGATCACAAGGAACAATCACTTCCAGACATTCCCGCAAGCACTTCTTGTGTTGTTTCGTTCTGCAACTGGTATGTAGCTCTTGTATGCCCTAATGATGCCTAGATAATGTAAAATTTTTGATCATCTGGACGTTTTTTGGTAATAAATGGCTGTCAAGATCCGCGCTAATTTTATCAAGCTTTACTTTAGTGAAATATATGCGGATAGATATAGTGGTGACCATTCATTGACTGAATCATTTTTAATGGTATGTTATCTATGTTTTGGAATATTGCGATTAAATCATAATTTGGTACTTTTAAAACACCAACAAATACAAAATAAATAATAGTCTGTCGGTCTGTCCGTCAGCGTAGCTAGGGACTCGTTCTAAACTATAGATTCCAATACAGAAGAATGAGCAAGTAACTCCATTCGTTACTCTTTTAAAAAAAGTATGTTCTACAATGTCTCTGATACATATTCCAATATTGTACGCATATGTGAAAACAATGCAAAAACACGCTTGACGCATTATACACATTAATACTAAAATAGAAAACAAAAAACAGTAAAATGATATTTTGATGTTTTCCAGGTGAAGCCTGGCAAGACATCATGATGGGCGTCTCCCCGGAGCCAGAAGTAAAGTGCGATAAGAACTATCACGAAGAAGGAGATGTGGAGATAGAGGACAGCGGGGGAACATGTGGCAGTGTGCTCGCATTCCCATACTTTATTAGTTTTTACGTTCTTTGTTCGTTTTTGGTAAGTTACCCTATTAATTAGACAATCTGGAATGTATGTGATGGAAGGTCATGGTCACATACACACAATTTTCCAATTTTATTCATTTCTAAACTGTTAGGCTGTTCTGTAAAATGTCAATTCGAATTCTCGAAGTGAGCTCCATCGTATTCTCGACCGTCATTGGTTGGGATCATTCTTAAAACCAATGACATGGCGGACCGCGAACGAGTTCAAGTTGATTTGAAAGGTATCTAGCTGGTCATAGCTTTACCGATTTCATTTAAGACAACACAGTTATCATAGTTTCAGAGAACACAGTTATCTGAATACTCTATATTAATGTAAAAGATTCAATTAACAAACTATGACTCAAATTGTGATTTGTTTTCAGATCATCAATTTATTTGTGGCTGTCATTATGGATAATTTCGACTATTTAACCAGAGACTGGTCAATATTGGGACCACACCACTTAGATGAATTTATAAGGTAACTCCAAATTATAACACTGCCTTATCCAATAGATTCTTCATCATTTAATCCAAAGTACTTTATTCTGATGGTTTCCCAGTACATAATGTTAGTAGTATTGTTGTTATTTTCAAATTCTTGTTCTTCTGCTTGATTTTTTCTAGCTGTATCTTATTTATATGACCATTCTTATTGTTTTCAGGTTATGGAGTGAATATGACCCTGACGCCAAGGGTAGAATAAAACATTTAGATGTAGTTACTTTGTTAAGAAAAATTAGTCCACCTTTAGGTGAGTACACTTTTCTCTTCATTTTGTACTTCCTCATTTATAGTAATACTCACTCTGATTACCACTTTATTACGTAACATTAAAGGCGTATTGTGTGGTTGTAATATCCACGACACTGTTCATCATCATCAACAGCCGAAAGACGTCCACTGCTGGACATAGGCCTCCCCCTTGGTCCTCCACGTCGAACGACAACTCGCCACTTGCATCCACGATGTCGTCAGTCCACCTAGCAAGAGGCCTGCACACTTCGTTCGACACTGTTACGTTCAATTATTTAAATTCTTCAGTAGTTTTGTCAACAAGTAAAACAGTTGGCAAAATGTGATTTATCTAATTGATATCAATAATTTGCATAGGTTTTGGCAAGCTATGTCCGCATCGCGTGGCATGCAAACGCCTCGTGTCTATGAACATGCCGCTAAACTCGGACGGCACGGTGCTCTTCAACGCCACGCTGTTTGCCGTCGTTAGAACATCGCTCAAGATCAAAACTGAAGGTAAGACTTAGAATACTTTCATTGTGGAATTACAAATATCCATTTTAACGGCTAAGGGTGAAATCCATTCAGGTAAAGTATTAACTATGAAATTTCTAGTGCTTTCTATTGTAAACTCTGTGAAAGTGGTGAATCCATATACTTGAGCTACGGTATTTTTGCTTGTGGAGCTAGTGTGAAACTCTCGTCTTTTCGTCCAATAAGGAAGTAGCAAATGATTGGACACAGAAACTGTATCCTAAATGAGCGCCATCTGGTGTTTAAAATCGGCAGTCCTCATTGACCAGGTTTTTTATGGGATAAACCGGTAAACGAGCAGACGGATCACCTGATGGTAAGCAATCGGCGCCACCCATAGACACCTGAATCACCGGAGGCGTTACAAGTGCGTTACCAGCTTTTTGGGAAATGGAAATTTGAGGATAGTTAGGGATTCGGGGATTGGGGTCACCGAGGAGAGGTAATTTGGCCTCCGGTAACCTTACTCACACGACGAAACACAACGCAAGCGTTGTTTCACATCGATTTTCTTTAAGGCCGTGGTGGCGCTCCGGGTGAGCCGGCCCATTCCTGCCGAAGCATGACTTTCCCACAATTAGACAAAAGAGAAAAAAGAGGACTCCCTTTAGAATATACGTAATATATTAATCTCTTGTCTATCGATATATGAAACACAACAATGGAAAACACATTTTGTCTTGCACAGATCTGCGTATCGGTTCCACTTCACAGGTTAATATATTAAAAAGAAAAACAGCATTCATATTGTACATACCAAATCCAATGTCACAGGCAACATAGACGACTGCAACACAGAACTCAGGGCTGTCATCAAAAAGATTTGGAAGAGAACATCTCCTAAATTACTAGACCAAGTAGTTCCACCGCCTGGCGACCCTAACGAGATCACTGTTGGCAAGTTCTATGCGACCTTCCTCATTCAAGATTACTTCAGAAGGTCAGTAATTCTAGTAATAGTTTTTTGTTTTCAATTTTTTAATCTTTATTTTGATTTTATGGTGTCTGATGATAATGATGGTGATGATAATTTCAAAATTGTTAATAAAAATATTATAGAAATTGGTTTTATATAGTCATTGGAATGAATCATTAATCAGATTCCATGGAATTTGATTTTTTAATAGTCAAATCGGTTTTATTTTTATTGAAACAATCGATTGGATATATTGGTATGTTTCTTTGATGAAATTAATTTGGAAAAGCTAACGATAAATCTAAAACCGATTCCAAAATTATTGATGTGTTTATTTTTTCAAAATTGTTATCTTTCAAAATTATTTGTCTTATATCCTTTTTATCCCAAATCTGGATGATAATTGGCGTTTAGAGTATTAGGTGACATGAAACGTTACGTGTTCCTTTTTCAAATTCAAAAATCTTGACGTTCTCATTGGCAGTTTGTTTTGAATTATTTCGTGTTTTCTTTTTTTATTTCGTTTAATTTTTTCGTTCGGTTAACACTGACAAATTAATTTTTGTTTCATAGGAATCACGCGTAAGTAACAACAGATACGTATGTGTAGGAAAGAATGTTCCCTTTTTTAGTGTTTTTTATCATACAAATGCTGACATGACCCTTTGCGATATAGATCTAATCAACTATAGTTGTGACAGCGTAACGCCCTGACGACAACTTGGAATTTGGTTGAAACTTTCCGTTTTAACGTTTTGCCCTGCATGTCCCTACGACGCTCCTACAAGTACATTGTCTATGACTTAGCTTTATACAGGCCGTTTTGTACACATTTACGAATTGATGCTATCCAGAAGCATGCCGATGTTTTCTACAATCCAACTACCATATTGTTTTATTTTGTCCAATATTTTCGTTTCCCGTTGTTATATGTTGTGTTTTGTGATATTTATGTTATACATATAATTTTTAGTATTAGTAAACATGAATTATTACTTAAAATATAAATGCGATCATTCTTTGAAAGACTTTCCATTATCGCGTTTAGCATTTTTTAGGCTATAGCTAAATGAAGTTTTCTCTTTTTTGGGATATTTTTAGACTTTGAACAGATTTTTACGAACATAGTAGAAGAAAACCATTGCCAACTCTTTTTAGATAATTTTTGATATACAATAGAACTTTTTTGAATTATTAGAAAGATATTTTCGATTGCCACTTCAACGCTTAGCATAGTTGCACAGCAAAGGAAATAATACTGTAAGTACTTCTAACCGTTTGTCGATACTACAAATGATTCTAAAGTTTATTATGTACGTCATAAGGTTCAAAAAGAGAAAGGAGCAGGAAATGCGGCAGAGTGATGAGCAGACGCACCACCAGATGACGCTGCAGGCGGGCTTGAGGACCTTGCACGAGGCAGGCCCGGAGCTGAAGAGAGCGATATCAGGGAACCTGGATGATATTTCTGCGGAATGCGATGTGCCTATGCATAGGGTAAATAGCTTCATGAATAATCATAGTTTTACACTCCGTTGTCAAATTATTCTAGTGAAAACGTACAAAAATTGATAATTATTACCTTCTCTCTAATGTAAGATATAATCGACGATGGCATTCGGTTCAGTCTGGTTGACATAAAGTGCACTCTCAAAACTAGATGATAAATGCCAGGAAATAGATGAACGTGTTGAATACTCATACAATTTGCCAAATTCTGGGTTTCTGGCACTAGCCACTCACACATTCGTACTTATTCACTAGAATAAGTACGAATTATTCTTATTCACTATTTACTAGAATAAGTACGAATTAAGTACGAATTCGTACTTTTTCTAGTGAATTTACTTTCACTTAAATTTTTATAAGCATTCCTGGATTGAAAACATCACAACTAAAAAATAACCTCAAAAGCGATTATTCAACAACATTAAGGTAATTGGTTGTAGAAATTTCTTCATACATGTATTTTTCTAACCTTCGCAGAGGAACCACTCCTTATTCGGGGGTGTCTGGTCAAGTATACGAAGACATGGACCGAACAGACACTTCCATAGACATCGGAAACATGGCGAGCCTCCCACAGGTAAAAAATATATACATATAGAAAAATTAAATATAGAATATACACAATTAAAAGAGATATTAGGAAAAATACGTAGTTCTAGTTTTGTTTTTTTTAGTTTAGCGACATCTAAGCGTTACCGCGTTAAGCGTTCTGATTGGCCTGCTCCAGTGAATCAACCAATCAGAGGTCTAAACATGGTACCGTTTCGATCTCGGCCCTCTGAACTCTTTATTAACTTATGAAACAAGAAAGTACTGATTTAAAAAATATATAAGTTATACTTATTTGCACAAAGGCTGGAACTAAACATAACATAACATAACATTCATTGTTCTAAGACCCATGTTTTTAATAGACATAACTAGTTAATTTAGCAATACCTGGATATCTACTTTTCCACAAAGTTAAAGAATTTATTTTCTAATTAATTATTTATTAATGTCATCTAAAGTAAAAGCACCCAATTTTTAATCCCTAAATTCACAACATAACGTTGACATTAGTATTTCCCTTTAATAATAAATAAAACTAAGAAAAAAAATTGATTGCCTTTAAGTAGGTACTTGCTTAATATCAAAATTCTAAGTCATATCCAAATTTCATAATATGTCGCACAAAAATTAATTGGCTATTGTAGTTATGCTGCTCTCTATTTATGTTTGGACACCATTTAGAAACATTACTACGCATTTATGATTGTAAATGCTTTTTGATAGCACGAAAATAATATTCTACCTTTTTCCCTTTTTGTCCTTTAAGTTACATCACAAATTGATTCTTACTAGATGAGAATGTTTTTGCTCTTCATAGATGGCGCTAGTGACGTTTTTCATTACCTTAATAACCGTAGCTTAATTCGATTTATCTATAATTTACCATTAATATTTATGAGTAGACAAAACACTTAGAAATAAAAATACACGAGAGCCACTGGTGGCTAATTTAGGATAGCACAGAATCGTTTCATGGATACCAATATGGCTCAAATGATCTTTTTTATCCAAACAATCGTACCTAACCTCAAATAATAGGTGTCTAAACATAAATAGTGACCCGGCTACTTTCAAAAAGTATGAGTGTGGATAACAAATGCATGAGTTACCAGTATCATGTCTTCTCTACGCAGATGAACAAACAATTTATACTCATTCGTCGTCTGCCGAACAACTGCTAACAGAATATGGTAATTATGTTGAACAAAACATAGAAGATGTGTGGAATTAACATAAACATGGACTAGATGGAGACTTCGACGAAAGAGATGAAAAAAATACTATGAATGGAATTGAAACTATCGATGGGTTCGAAACCCAAGATCGTGAAAAGAGGATCTGTCAATAAAGTAATGGAATTAGAGAGAATGTTCTGTATACTGTTGTAGTTAGTCTTTTGAAGTTGTGTCTGGGATCTCTGATGTCTGAAGTCTGAATGGATTCCAGTGTGGAACCTTTGCACAGCAGAACAAATGCTATGCAAGGGCCATTCTGGATATATAACTATCACTGTTCATTCTCAAGTCACTGCCAACTGCTACCGCGCTATGTATATTGTATATGTATTTGTATTATATGTATACTATTTTATGTACAATTCGTGATCTGACAATATTCAAAAATACCACGTTTGAATGATTATGGAAACTGAAGTGTGCAAGGATCATTGCATGCGGTGTTACGTAGCTGCCACTGAGCTGTGAGGGTTGAGGGTTGAAGGCATCTGATGATGTTTTAGATGGAGGAGGTGGTGGCGCTGCTGGTGTCGGTAACCATTTGAGTTCAATGATGCAAAGAGAGTATGGAGTTGGACCACTGCCTCTTACACCTAACTTGTAAGTTGATTAAATTTTGTTAATGAATAAAATAGCTAGATGTGTTTTTAATAATGATGTAATTTCAGAGCAAATGGACAGCCAAAAGAACAAATACCACTAAGGCCGTTGATATTCAACGGAGAGTCGGAGAAAATTTACCAAGTGCTAGAGTGAGTGACGTTCCCATTCAATGACTAATAAGATCATATTATTTACATCATTCATTTCAATAAATCAGTTTAATTGTCCTAATACATGACGGAATCTTAAAAAGCATTTCGCTTATCTTACAGAAGAACCACAAATGACCTAAAGAACACTATATACCAAGGTAGTCAAATGTGTGGTTTTGTAGTTGATTTTCTAAAATTACCGTTTGCATCACCCGCACTCTTGCTCCAATAACCTGTCTAACGCTTCCATCTTCTTTCACTGCTTCTGTGTGGATACGGTACGTACTAACAGCAATCAAAAGTCCAACTACCCGGAGATGCTCGGCCAGATCGGGCTGGCCTTCGGCTGCGTCAACTATCTGTCGACGCCGAGCGAGGGCCTGACCGCGTCGAAACCGACCGCCACGGTTTCAAGGCAAAAAGTTCACCCCGAAGACTCGACGTCTTCAAGGGAGAAACTGTCAATACCGAGGATGGCGTCAATGGAAGACAAAACGCCATCTCCGAACGCGTTTGAGCAAATACAGCCGAAGATATCGCCACTGCTGGCGAGCGAGTGTACGCCGACGACCGAGTCGCGGACTATGACGTTGTACGGGTACAATGCGGCCGCGAAGCTGCCGTTCGCGTTCTCGCACGCCAAGGAGCGCGTGAGCCGGGGCGGGGAGCGGCGCAGCCTGCGCGCCATCAAGCCGGCGCTGTGCGGAGCAGGTCGGATGGTGCGCAGCGCCTCGTCGGGGGCGGCCTCGCATGCGCCGCCCGCTCGGCTTGTAGATCGCCCGCACTCGCCAGGTCCGCACGCCACAGGGAGCTTCCTTCCAACTATTTTATCCCTTTCCTTTAAAGTTATCTACTTTGATTTCCAATCAAATAACTATAGATATAGGGTCTAAATTATTTAATTTCTTAGACTCTAGTCCTATAGCAATTTTTATTTTAGCTGTAAGAACTAATGAATTCTAAGTAGTTTAAGTCCCAAATTGTTTTACGAAGGAAGCTTTCTACAATGTAGAATAATGAACGCTCATCAAAAACCTTCAAAGCTTACAGGAGTACATTGCAGGCAAACGGAAACCTGACGGTATTAACTAAGAATTTTACACACACTCACACTTTGCTTCAGCAATAATTTCATGTTTTGCAACTTCACACGAATATAACAATACACAAATCTTGCACTGAATAATACTAAATGAGGTAAAATGATAACTTAACTGTATTGTATAATGTTATGGTCGACACCGGTTAAATACTATCATCGTAAATAGCATGTAACTAACATTGAAGGGCTAAATAGTGCATTTTATAGTGATTGAGGATTTAGAAAAGCTTTTAGAAGATTTTGAAGAACAGTTTTTGTTTTGTATGATTTGCACGAAAATTTGAACAATCATAAAAATCCACGAGGACGCTATTGATTTAGAATTAATGTATAGACAAATAATTGAGATTCATCGCTTTAAGAATCATAATAGGCTAGCTTATAAGCTTTTGGAAAATTAGAACAACAATAGTTTAGATTTAGACTTTGAAAACATGATTACAGAGAGGTATGTTTTGTTTTGTAATGTAAAGTTCACTGAAATTAGAAGAGTTGCAAAATTAAAATGATTCTTAAGCTGCCGCAAATGCCCCATCATGTCGTGCAAGTAATGGAAGGGTGGTGAATACCGTTGCAGGAGGAGATAGTTTTGGGCGTGGGGTGGTGTCGCTGCCCGGCAGTCCGAGAGGAAACAACTCTTCGGCACCTGTCGTGGTGGGGTCCGCAGAGAGCCTGGTTACAAGAGTAAGTTAAATTTACAATTATTTTTATGATAAATGGCGGCAAAAGTGTAAACTGATCACTTGATGGTAAGCAATCGGCGCCGCTCATATACACTTGAAACACTAAAGAGGTTAAACATGTGTTGCCGGCCTTTAACCATTGATGAGGAATGATAATAGTGACAGTGGCATGTGCTTCATTTTCAGGTTCTAACCGAGCAAGGTCTAGGTGACTACTGTGACCCAGAGTTCGTGCGGAATACTTCTCGTGAGATGCAGGAGGCACTAGAAATGACACAGGAGCAGATGGACAGGTAGATAACGATGACCATGATGAAGATAAAGTGTTTTTTAAATCGTATGTGATGTATTTTGTAAAGCAATATATTCTTTACAGAGCTGCGCATCAGCTGATGATCAACGAGAAGAACATAAAACAAGCTCAAAGCCAACAACCCCAAGTTGTAAGTATCTAACAAGTTGACACGATCGATGTCTTACTAACGCTCACTAATTCACTTTTCAGCTGCGAACTTGCTATCATATTTTATAACGAATGTATAGGGTAACATTTGGGTTATAGGGCGACATCCTTGCCCGTCAGTACCACCCGTTCCACCAGCCGGCGACGATGCCGCCGCCGGTGTTCAAGCGGTTATAGCACCCGCCCCCAGCCAGCGCGCGCCCACGCATGTCGCCACCGGCCCGTGCGGCGCGCGCGACCACACACGTCAGACACACCATAGGAAAAAAAGAAAACGCAAACCAGTACTGGTTTAGCGACATTTTATTATATAAACAATGTTTCCGTTACATACTTTAATCATTTCATTTTAGCGCCCAGTAATTCAGTGCAACCGACTGAGTTATTTGACGCGTCACGACATCTATGCTCAAATTCTTCGTTTGTTTCTCAATTTTTCTAACAGGTGGAACAAAGTTAGAGTACGTGATGTACTTTTTTTAAATTCTATTACTGTGGTATCACAGTTACAGTGAGATTGTAGTTGTTTAGGTATAGCGTAATTTCAGGGCCACGGAACTTATTTGTACCCACTCCAAAGTGTTGGGTACTTACTTTGTCGATATTTCAGAAATGGCCCTTTTAAATTCTTAAATTAGAAAATGTAAAATTTTGACTTTGAGAGAGAAAACACTCTCCTTATCTAAAATAGATAGAAAACGTAATTTACAATATATAATTTTATCCTTTTTAGGTACCTATTCGAATTGATTACTTTGCATTGCTAATTGTATTGTGCAAGTTTTAATAAATACCTCTAGTAAACGATTGTACCTTTAATAAAATTGATTTAATGTTTTGGATTTTATAAAACTTGCATGAGACAAGGGCTTTATACTTTGGAAAGTAAAGAATAAACTTATATTTGATAACGCGGACGATTCTTCCTCTACTTTAAAAATTAAATATTTCTTAAAGTAACGAAGCTTTCGAAACTCTTGAACGCTAGAGCTTTTGTGGTGAATTATGAAATTTGGTGTTATTTAATTTAATGAGATCGCTTTAATTGTTACGGTTCAGTATTAAGTGGGGAGCTAATTACTTGTTTAGCGATATTCGAGTAACCTAAATTGTCTAGACGTTACGTTGTTTGGTTTCCTATGTTCTAGCACCAGATCCAAGACAATACCGTTTTTGAAGACTTTGATGTACTGATTGTGTAACTACCCTCGACGTAGGGGATCCAATTTTCAGTAGTTTACCCAAAAGTTGAATTTATAAAAATTACTTAATGGCCCCCGGTGACATTGAGTGACAGGGACGCGTACAGGTGAGACACAGTGATTTTTATAAGTTCAGCTATATTGAATAGCTATGACCACTTTTAGATTAGACACTAATCAAATTGTAGCGTAAACTCTAGGCTCAGTCGCCTAAGATAAAAACTAAAGATGAGAGTCTGATTTTCATCTTTTCAGTAACTTTACAATGTAAAAGTAAGCACTATTTTGAAGTTTTAATAGATTTTATAGGTGGATCGATTTATATACGATATTTCCACCCATGTCCTTCTCGGGTTGTTAGTGGTATTTATGTTTTACATCCTAAACTCCGACGTATGAGCTTAGTATGGGAACATAGTTTGTCCTTCGCTGCATTACTTGAACAAGATGAAGTCGTTATCGTTTGGGCAATAATTTTCACAGCGGACATCTTTGCTTTATCTAAAGCTGCGTGTACTTGTGATAATGTCGCGGAGTGTTTATTTAGTGTAATTTCATCCAACTTTGTCACGGTTCTACTGACTTTATTGTGGATTTTCTTGTCCAAATTCAATTATCTGAAGTAGGTAGTTCATGAGGATTTTTATACCTAGTGGCTTTTAGTCAATTTTTGCCAATAACATTATAAAGTCGATAGAACTGAAACCTCTTTTAATTTCATAAAAGACAGTTAAAAATAATCGTGTATTTGCGAAGAGGCATTTACTAAAATCGATTGTCTCGACTTATTGATTAGTTAGACAGCGGAGTTAGGTAAACATTATCTATTTAGTTTATTATTCTAGTTAAATTTAACGGAATTTGCAACATCTTGAACTAATTGTTAGTTTATAACAATATTACATACTGCATCTTACGTTTGTCATTTCATTTTGTTTAAAAAAAGACGGTTATATTTAAAAAGAAACTCAAATTGTGATGTGACATAAGAGCAAGGTGTTGCAAGTTAAAAAAAATCTTAGCTCTATAAGATATTCCCTAGTAAGTGCCCTTTTAAACTCTATGAAGCGACGTAGTGTAGATATTATCGTCAGCAACTCCATGTACCGTCACACTCCACATTCCTCTAGAATTAAGGTCAATCTTAACAACTTTGTATTCTGTTAAAACCTCTTCGCAGAAGGATTTTTAACTTCTGAAGGCGCGTGTTTGACCATAAATATTGTGATTTTGTCCAATAACAATGGCACCATTAGATCCAAATAAATCTTCAAAATATTTTTACTGTATGTTTTGTAAGAAGTGTTTTGTTTTTTTCATAAGAGTTGCAACATTCGTCGTCACGCACCCGCCTTCACATCCTATCGTTTAGGCTACAACAGCAAAGATTAGGTGGAGAGGCAACGCACAAATGTATGACAATGATGTTCGTGAAATTCTAAATGTATATAAATATGTATGTAGATCAACTTCGTCATCTAAATAGAATAGTTTCTGAGCCACCTACGATGAATTCGTGGTAGTTTTTTCTCAGCAAATACTAAGACAAATGGTCTTATTTCGCGCAATAGTGTAGACTTACCTACGGTTATTTATGTATTATTATATTAAGTAAAAGCTCTTCTTGTCTTTGTTGTTAATGTAGCCTAATCTATGCTTCCTCTAAACTTTCAGTGCCAACTTATTAGACGTTGAATTTAAACTTTTAAAGTTGCCTTTATATTTTCTGCCATTTTATATACCTACTCGTTTGTTATTCCTATCCTATTGTCTTTTCTGTTCAGTCTATAGTCTATATAAGAGTTTATTGAAGAATTTTAAAGATTTTTATTGAAAATAATGTAGAACTCCATGCAATGTAATATGTATTGAGACGCTGCTGTTATTTTAGCGGTTACATTTGAATGAGTGCAGATATGCGAGGCATACTTCAGAAAGGTGTAAGTTCCTCAATGTGAGGATATATCTAAAGTTTTAAAATATTCATTCGTTAGTGATTTCATCTGTAAATAATGTACAAAATTAAACAAATCTGTACCTACTCTGAGAAATATGATTTTAAGTACGTTTTTATATTCCTAGCGTAAAAACCGCTAGCAGTAAAGAATCTCGATTGTAAATAGTTCTGTAAATAAAGAAAGTGTAAAAGTTATATATTCCGTCAACCATATTAAAATTGATACATTATTAATTATCTATATTTATTGTTTAAAAATGAACATTGTAAAATTGTTTTCATATAAATAAAAAAATGTGAGAAACGCGATATAGTGGTTTTTTTTTTAAACTGTATTTGAAAACCAAGACATTGTCTCTCAAAGACGTTTGACTATAGTCAAACGCAAATGATTATAATCATATTGATAAATAAAACATAACATAAGTTAACGCCTTTTATCCTCGAAGGGGTAGGCAGAGGTGCGCATTATGCCACTGTACAATGTAACACACACTTTTCACTATTTATGTTATGAGTCCCATGTAATAGGGGGTGAGCCTATTGCCATATACCGGGCACAATTCCGGACTCCGTGCTATACTACTGAAAATTAAAAAAAAAGCCCAGTAGTACTTTGTCCGACCCGGGAATCGAACCCGAGAACCGAGGCCAACGAGGCAGTCTTAAACTAATGTTTATAACAGAATTTTGCAGATAAACTTTTTAACCGACTTCATTTTTACTTATAAATACTTTGGATCTATTTTACAACTTGAAATAGAGCAACAGAAGGATTTCATAAATTGGCGTACCCCAGGGTGGCATCTTCGGCCCAACCTCACTTGAGTAATAAAGTGGACAATATGCAGCCCAGCCAGAACCTGGTAAAATAAAAGTTGTTAAATGTTTTATGTATTTACTGTTTCTTTTTAATTGTTGGGATTTCCAACATGTTGCAAATATTCATTCAGTGAAGTATTGTAATACTCAGAGAGGCGGATTAAATCTAGAAAAGGATCTAGACACACCTTATAAGCATTCCCCAATTTCCGTTGGCGCTGCCGCCACTCTATGGATAGCTGAGCACTCGCATCTGTAACCTGGCGCCCCTTACCTAGCTTGCCCTTGGGATAATCAGGTACCGGTAATACTTGTGTATCCAAAACAAAAGTACCTATAGGCTGGAGAATAAGTTACTTAAATATTTTTTGATTTTCAAATTATCAAGTGTGTCAACATTTTATAAAGTTGAAATATAATTCAACAGATATTTTCAATTTCTGGTCAGAATTGGCAGTTATGTTAAGTTAGTAAAGACAAATACATTATGTGAACTTAGCTAACAGAATACCTTTACACACATACTAACGGGAAAAGTAGCTACTTGAAAAATAATGTACTTGGATATTATTTCCTAAATAACTTCAAAATAAGGACGTTGTATTTTAATACAAAGCCAGTGTTGGGTACTTAATGTGCCCAGCCCATACTCTTTGGTCATGGGCAAATTACATACAGCCACTATATGAAAATCGCTGATGTTGCATTCTCACCAATACTTATTATTTTAATTCCCAATTCCTAAAATTCCAGTAACGCAATTGTAACGCCTTGGTGTTTCGGGTGTCCATGGGCGGCGCCGATTGCTTACCATCCGTCCGGTGATCCGTCTGCTCATTTACCAGCTTATCCCATAAAAATAAATTAACTAAAATCGCGATATTAGTTAATTTAGTATGTCTCACGATAGTTATTATAATTTATACACAAAACATAAAAAAAATCGCCAACCACATTGAGCAATCGTGGTGATGGTGAGTAATGCTCGAACCTTCTAGGTATGAGAAGAGGCTGTGCTCAGCAGTGGGCATTTATAGGCTGTTGATAATGATGAAGTTTAAAACTGCAAGACTAGACTTTGTGACAGTGATGTGCCAGGCACTTTTTGGCTTGTCATCTTTACATGACTCTGCCTGAGTCAACAGGTTAAACTCACGGTTTAAACTCATGGGTTAAACTCATAGATATATCATATCAGTGGTTAAACTAAAGAACAAATGAATACCATAAGCCACTTTTTTTAATGGGAGAAATCATCAAATTACTGCTCCCGCCTGGGTGAGGCGGGAGGGAGTGTCAGACTCTTACTGACTAAAAACCAACCCGTTCCTTCTCCTGCACGTCGAGCTGGAGCCCTGGTAACCCGTTAGGTTCTCCGCGACATACCATAAGCCATAAGGTGTTAATTCTGCTCATTTATTCTACTATAAGATAATAAACTACCCACAAAAGCCAAACGTATTTTCTTAACATCATAATATCACAATACCTTGTCAATATGAGACATTTTGTTAGTCGCTTACAAAACAGGTTAGGTAGAATTCAATTTCTTTTGAATCAAAATAAAAACCAATTAGAGATCAACAATTATAATTTATTTTTCAATCAAAGTCCCTCTAACTCGTTTCTCTGAAGTCTGTGCAGGAGTCTCGGCTTGTCTCTTATTCATTCCTTTCCTTTCCAACTGCTTTTCAATTATTCTAGCATTGTTAGCGTAACTGTCTGCTACTTCTCGTGCTTCTATCTCATCTTCTTCCTCATCTATCGTAGAAACAGTCACAGAACTAAACTTGCCCATGTTCTTCGTATGTTTCGTAACCATTATCTTCTTAGGCTGCGTCAAAGCGACCTGTTTATATATATCTGTGACCCCACCTTCACCCGCAGTCTGTACCAATGCTCCATCCATAATGAACACTATATTGCTGTCCTGCTCGCTCTTATAGTATATTGGTATTGAACATTTCTTACATTTCATTCTGTATTGTCGTTCTATACCTTTTTCCCGCTTCAGGAACACTGTCTCGTCAGGATCTGCGGTGATTTTGTGAGCGTGTTTTGATCCATCAATCACGCGTGCACCATCGGTGGGCCGGAGAGGTAGACGGTCGATGGTACAGTCCAGGATCAAGGACATCTGTCCACATAAACAGTAGTAAATGTGTAATGGCTTTGTCTCGTTGTATTCTTCCTGGTCTTTCGTATCTGAACACACGATGCTTCTTGATACAACCTTCGGCATTGTGCGTTGGTAAAATGTTACACTTTTCCTTCTGTTATAAGTAGTTTTTCTGCTCGTTTCAATAGTTTTAAACAATGTGCGTTTGTTAATTTGTATAGGCTTTAGATTAAATGTAACACATTCACGATTAATACAAGATCACTACACAAACAAATCAACATAATCATGATGACTTTGACAACTATGACAAATGACAATGACAACAACCAAGGACAGATAAGAGCGGAATGGGCATAGAGTTCAGCATGTGGCCGATAGCTGTAATAGATTTTCGTTAACGGATTAATTGTCGACAAGCAAGTCTTTAAGACGAAGACAAAATTATATTTTGTCATTATCTCCGAAAATTTTTCTCACGAAAAAGAAAAATATCTGACTTGACACAAGAACTTGACATACCTAACAGTCGAAACAACATGTGTAGTGTTTCTTTTTTTTTCTAATAATATTATTGTAATTATTGTAACAATTTTAAATACCTCTGTATTTTGAATTATATTTTTACACTTATTTTATTCAACATCATGATTCTTCTCGCAGGAAAATCTGGCTTGGCTTCAAAAGCTGTACGTTATCATGTACCAACGAAAATATTGTATCGTACTGCTGCGTACACAATCCAGCATCACTGCCACGACTGTGTGGTCATTGGAGCTGGAGGAGCAGGCCTCAGAGTTGCTGTTGGTCTCGCTGAAGCCAAATTCAGTGTAGCTTTGGTGTCCAAGCTTTTTCCAACGCGGTCCCACACTTCCGCCGCACAGGGAGGCATGAACGCTGCTCTTGGAAGTATGCACCCAGACGATTGGAAGTTTCATTTTTATGATACCGTAAAAGGCTCAGATTGGCTTGGTGATCAGGATTCAATACATTTTCTGACGCGAAATGCTCAATCATGCGTTATAGAGCTGGAGAACATGGGCATGCCATTTTCAAGGACAGCGGAAGGAAAGATATACCAAAGACCTTTTGGAGGCGGGACTATAAACTTTGGTAAAAGTGTGGCCAAAAGGACATGTGCTTGTGCCGACCGCACTGGCCATGCTTTGATGCACACCCTTTACGGATACTGCACGCGGTACGAGAATATTGACCCATTCTATGAGTTTTTTGTGTTGGATCTCCTTGAACAAGAGGGAGAGATAGTTGGATGTTTCGCAATGGAGATGGATAATGGTAGTCTTCACAGTTTTCAAGCAAAGAATACAATAATAGCAACTGGTGGCTACCCAAGGATGTACTTCTCATGTACTGCAGCCCACGCCTGTACTGGTGATGGTACAGCAATGGCTACCAGACTTGGAATCCCACTTCAGGACATGGAGTTCATCCAATTTCACCCAACTGGCATGTACGGGTCCGGTTGCTTGATAACTGAAGGTTCTCGTGGAGAAGGAGGATATTTAGTGAACAGTGAAGGCAAACGGTTCATGGAAAAATATGCTCCGAAAGCCAAGGATCTAGCTAGTCGTGATGTGGTATCCAGATCAATGGCCACAGAGATCCGTCAAGGTCGTGGAGTTGGACCTAAGAAAGATCACGTTTACCTGCAACTCCACCATCTTCCCCCGGAGCTGATAAAGGCAAAGTTACCCGGAATCTCAGAGTCTGCGTTCACGTTCACAGGGGTTGATTTGTTTACTCAACCTGTACCCGTTTTACCCACTGTGCATTACACTATTGGTGGTATTCCGATCAACTACAAGGGAGAGGTTATTATACACCAGGGGGGTCGAGATTGTGCAATTCCAGGACTGTTTGCTGCTGGTGAGGTGGTAAGTAATGCACACGGAGCTAACAGACTGGGTGGTAATTCCATTCTCGACGTTGTGGTATTCGGGAAATCAGTCGCATATACCATATCGCAAAACTTTAAACCAGGTGACAAACAAATGTGCTTGAGAGATAATGTGTGTGACTATTCTCTGGCAAGACTTGAAACAGTTAGAAACGCGAACGGTTGCGCTCCACCTCATGAACTGAGGGCAGCAATGAGACAGACTATGCAAAGCAAATGTGGAGTGTTTAGAGATTGCAAACTGTTGTGTGAAGCTGATAAGGAAATTCAAAAATGGTACAAGGCTTTCGAAGTAATCAAAGTGGTTGATAAAAATACGAACTGGAATACAGATCTGATTGAAACTCTGGAGTTACAAAACATGCTGCAGTGTGCGGTGCAGGTAGTGGCTAGTGCTAAAAACAGGACGGAGAGCAGAGGAGCGCACTTTAGAGAGGATTGTCCTGATCGAATAGATGAATTTGATTACAGTAAACCAACGGAGGGCCAGACTATGAAGTCATTCGAGAATCATTGGAGGAAGCATACGTTGTCAACGATAGACCTGTGCACAGGCGAAGTAAATATAACATATAGACCAGTTATTGACAAGCCTATTAATGACGAAGTCAAGTGGGTTCCTCCTGTGCCTAGAGTCTACTAATTTATTGTTTACTGTACATGTACACTTCAAAACGAAATAAAATTGTTTATGCATTGAAAATCTTAAGATTATTTTACAAAGTGGTTTAACCACTTATTCTATCATCTAATTATTTACATAGTTTTTCCAAACTAAACTAGAATATAATCTAATACTGTAATTTCTATTTTAGTCTTATATCTTACTACTTTCGGTTTCATCCGGACTACTCGGTGACAATTGACCATAGTGTGATGTTTCATTGTTTCATAGCCTTCCTCGATAAATGCACTATCCTCAACGCAAATGGTATTTTTCAAATCGTACCAGTGGTTATTGACATTAGCGCGTTTAGACCACTGATATACATAATAAAGGTATAAATATGAAATACCTACGAAAAAACCGTGCCTACCTAAACTTCAGTTTTTATTCTGTAATGGCGGGTAGAACTAGAGATGTGACTTTTGAAATAGTAGACGAAATTTTGGTATTGGTTTTAATTGACTTATCGATAAAATATCATTATTTTACGATTCATCTGGATTTGATTTTCATCTAGCTACTAAATATTACCAAAATATTAGTGAAATATATTTATTAGTTACTGCGTGCATAGGAGAGGGGAGGAATAGAACTCGCTAACGTGGCGAAACACAGAACGCCAGTTTTCTGTGAGGCCGTGGTATCACGATCCACATGTATGGTAATGTATGGAAAGAATTTTCCATCAATTGGTCAACGTTTACGTAGGTTAAGTCATATTTGAGGGTTAAAAATAAAACTGTTTCAAAGTATTTATAAAATCAAGATTTACAATATACAATGTCTTCGTGTTTTTCGTACTGTTTCCCCATAAAACCAATCTGCAAAACCATCTTTCGAGAAGACTCCAGAATCTGTTCCAAGTTCATTTTCATGCACAGATCTGGCTAGAGGCTGCAACATACATTTAACTTACTTAATTCAATCGAAAAAAGATTTCTCTATAGATTCTATAGGTACTGCACTAATCTCTGAACGAGAGTGTTTGTACATTACAATGACGGTGATAGACAGCGGAGGAAGTCTGTGAATAAATAATCATTCACAGAAACACATACGAGAACCCCGTCAGTTATGACCTTAAAATGAATGTTAAGTTTGCACCTCTTCAAAAATGTTTCCAAAACTAATAAAACAAAATACATAATAAATAGTTTGTATAATGATTTACTAATAGAGCTTGTAGAGGTAGGGCCCCATCATGTAGTTTTACTATATTCATTGTTCGGTTAAAACACTAATCTTCAAAATTAAGTTAACCATCAAAGATGTTACCTAGTAGTATCTGTTGTATCTGTTTGCCACATTAATTATTTCCAGCCAAGCACTTCTGCGTGGTTCAATCACAGGCAAACTAAAAAGAAAATTATAATATTATTCAAATTATTGGCAGAGTTATTCAAATTCTAATAAATACACGCAAAATACCCTAAAGTTATATTTAATTTGTTTGCTTCATTTAAGTCCCTCGGGCGGTATTTGATAAAAAAAATACAATTTCGAAAAAAACCCACTAGTATTTTTCTTTATCTTATATTATACAAAAATGATTCCACTAAATTGTACTACTACATAACGTAGGTATTGATTATGGTGGGTTATTGTCGATGATATGACATTTTTGACGAGTACATGTTTTTTGCATTTCGTCATATGTCAAATTAATGCATTTTATCATTCAGAATTTAGTATAGCTATTTGTTCTACTTTTGAAGCTTTTATTATGTGCGATAAAATTATCGATACGGAACAATCATGTACATCACTATTTTTCTCTGAAAAAAGTTTTAGACATATTTTAACTCAAATAGATGAAAATAAGCACTGCATTAGTTAGAAAAGCATTATATTTAGTCAATTTGCAGCACACTTAAATAAAAAAAACAGTAGTCCTTAACGATGTACTGTTACACCTGCCTATTTATTTATTTATTTTTTTTAAACGCTTCATGCACTAGGTGTACACAAGGTGGACTTAATGCCGCAGGCATTTTCTCCCAGTCTGACCTTTGGGTGATGCAGAGAAGAGTGAATGGTAGGAGCAAGAAGCAAGCAACGATTTAATTGAGAAAATAGAAGATTACACTAACATATTTCAAATATGAACATAAATAAATATAATAATAATATATATACCTACACACGAGTACACTACAATATACATACATACATACATACATACATAGACTCATAGCATATATTATAAATATGAACATAATTACTAATACTCTGTAAATAATTATTGTGACGATTCAGCCAACCTTTATATTTTATTTCTTCAAGAGAAGCTCACGTACTTTCTGCTTAAATGTTAGACGTGTCGACACCATCCTGACATCCAGGGGGAGCGCATTCCACAGCAAAATTGCCTGCACGAAAAAGGAAGAATGAAGGAAGTCAGTGCGATGAGTGAAGAACGAAGGTTTTTACTGTGGTTTGCGTACAAGTATTGAAAGTAAGGGGATAAATAACTGGGTAAAGAAGGTGAACAAAGAAAGGAGAATAGAGTGGTTAGCGCCCTTTGCTCCCTGCGCTGGCGTATGGGCAGCCACTTTAGTTGCAGCCGATGTGCAGAAACATGATCGTATTTACGCAGGTTGAAAACGAATCGAATGCAGTTATTTAGAAGTCGGTCACGTTTGTTGAGGAGATCTGCATTCAGGTCGTAGTAGCACACATCAGCATAATCGATAATAGGGAAAACCAAAGCCTGCACCAACATAGCCTTCGTAGCGGGAGGAAGTAAGTTTTTCGCACGATACAAAGCTCGCAAGGATCCAGTAACTTTTTTGCACACACTGGTGACCTGAGCATGCCACTTCAAATTATTATCCATATGCAGTCCCAGGTTTTTCACCTCATCACTATACGGGATTACTGCTCCATCGAAAACCACTGCCGGCAAGGAAGCCATGTCAAAAAGCCATGTCACCTATAAGAATGGCCTGACATTTCCCAGGATTCACTGCTATGCCAAACCTATCGGACCAGTTCTGAATGGCCGCCAGGTCAACGTTCATCTCCGAGATCGCATCAGACAGCCCATCAACATGAGCTTGACGATATAGCTGCAAGTCGTCAGCGTACAGATGGTACGCACACCGAAGTTCAGAAGTTATAAAATTAATGAAAATAGAAGAAAAAATTGGAAATGCATGCACTGATAACAGAACCTAAAGTGGCCAATTCGACCGACACGACTATAAATTTTTTGATGACGTCACAAAATTACTGCCAGAACTGTCGATAAATTCATTTTTTCAAATAAAAAACTTAAATTAAAAACTAACTATTACTTAAAAAAAATTAAAACTAAATATACTAAATTAAATACCTATATACAACTAAAGATTAAAATTAATTATAAGAAAAAACAAAAACAACTATTTACATAAAGCGTCGAAAAATTCGTCCGCATCGACGTCAGTGGGGAAAGTACCCAGAAGGCTGGCAGCATTGCCACGTTGTATGGCAATGCTTAACCTCTGGCCGAGAAAAAGACCAGCCCTCTGGTCACGAGATGTGTCAACTAGGCGTTTTGAAATGTTTTGGAATAATTTAAGTGCACTCGGACCCCACGGACCTAGCGTCTCAACCCCAAACGGCTCAAAGATATAACTACCAGCAAGGTTGTTATACTTGCGCCGCTTGAGGCTTTCTGCAGAGGCAGCAGCCGAACCAGCACAACCCGCCGTTACTGAAGGATGAGAAGGTGCAAGGGTGTCAACGCAGGTTGCGTCCCACACCAAAGACCTTCCCAGCTTCCAGGGCATAATGGCCATACCGTCGGGTCTCTTACCATCGTCGCGTGCCAAACCCTTTGACTAGGTGATCATCTTGGTGAAATATTTTCGGCTTAGCAGATGTCCAATTCTATAGGTTACTCCTTTCACATTCGGTAAATACGCTGAAGTCCGTTCCGCAACTGCCAGTCGCTTCTCACACGCACTGCTCGCAAGTCGAATTCATTGACGCCTGCTGTATCTGTTGTTCTGCCGTACCCGTTTTAAGTGATCAAATTCGTTGTAAAATGTACTGAGAACCACATAGACTCAGTGCCTGTTTTATTAACGTATGGCAAACAGTGGACAGGTGGGAGTGAGAGTCAGCTTGTAAGTACCGGCCCATCTGTATCAGTTTGCGAGGCACTGTATGCCACAGTCAATTGTCTTCTCAACGTCTTACAAGGACACCTGAACACAGCAACATATTTTAATTACAATCAATTGTAATGTGCCTAAAACTTTTTATAGGAAAAATAGATATGTAGCAATAGTTTGTTTAGTTTCAAACTTAGACAAAGGAAATAATCCTAAATCTATGGTTTTAAAAGTGGCATCCCTACTTCAATCCGCCATTACAAAATACTGTGAAGTTTTGTTAAGTACGAATCTATCGTAGGCATTGCAGGTCCATTGAATTCTTTTGTCATTGGTAAAAGTCTACTATGTTGGTATTCCGTGCTGTCAACTTCACGCTACTGCGATTGTCTTTTATTCCACAGAATTGTGTTTCATTGCACATGTTCATCGATTTCTGTTGAATTTAGGAAAAGTATTACGAATTCAACTATAACATGGGTGCTATATCCAGTAGATATCGTGTTTACAACTCGGGACTTACAAATGTCGATGTGGATCCCGCTGAAAGTGAGAACAAACGTGAAAATCCCGGAACGCTAGATGAAATTCATAAAAAGACCAAAGGTATTTTTTACACACGTTTTAACTGTTTTAGCGAATATCAAAAGTGATTAAAATATTAATTAGATTCGTAAAAAGCTAATAAGGTTAATCGTTCATTCAGAAAACGGCGGCAATTATAGTTAAATGCCGACATAAAAGTTGGGTTATCTTGTGATGTAATAATTGATAATTTACTACAATATACACGAAGTTATAGTTTAGAAACCTAAATAATCGTGTTTCGTGGATCAAAATGGGTAAATAATGTAAAATATTAGCACAGATTGACAGTATGAAGCGCAGACTGACATTTAATCTTTAGGTACTGTATTTGTATGTTGATAAGAATGTTATCAACCTTTGCAGTACTCCGCCCGAGTTTTGAATTTATTAGGTAGTTCGCGTGATAAAATGAGAGCAAAGTACCGTAATACAATGAAGTAATTAGACATTAATTAAAATTGAAAACAAAAAATCTGGTTCAAATCAGTAATTTTCTAAGAAAACTAGCTTAATGGGTAACTGTACATGTAGCGTGTTAATAGTCTCATACGGGCTTAATTTAAAATTCAAGAGGTTTTATCATATTAATAAAACTTGTAAAAAATTCTTAAATTGGATGATAAAAACAGTATTTTGTTCTGTAATTAAGATAATCTACATTATTACATACTATTATATTACATACTATTCTTAAAGTAGTTACTTATGTATTAATTATTAACTTTGTCTATTGAAACCTGATCTTAAAATATTAAGGCTTTGACTGCCAATAAAAAACTGTTGAAGGCAAATCCTCTGGTAACGTCGGCCACCCATGACCCCCATGGCATTTAATGTGTTAAGCAGTCTAGTAATGTATTTCCTTGGAACCAGATGCAGATAATATATCTAATTATATAATTTACTTGCTTCTGCCTGCGACTTGGTATATGCAATCTCGATGTATCCAATTCCCATATCATGAAATAAAAATTATTCTATGTCTGTCTACATGTCTTTCCATCCATCATGTTGTCTCGTGTCACAAGCACACCAGTATAAAACAAATGACAATTTAATGTTTATAATGACAAGACCTAATATCAAATAATAAAATGTGTATTGCAGATGTTATGCCCGTCAATTTTGAAGGTGGCAAGTTGATGGTGAACAGGGGACTGTCCAATCATTTCCAGGTTTGTTACGTGTGTTACCATAAAGTTCTTGTTTTGAAGTCAGAGCCTGTAACTCTGACAGAAACAAAATTACTTAAATAAGCATTTTGTCTTGGCTATAAAGATAATTGCAGGCCTAAGATATCTACTATGGGATACTAATACTACTCCTGGTTCTATGCTACCTCCGTTCCAATTTTCAGCCAAATTGATTTAGCCGTTCTTGAGTTATAAATAGTATAACTAACACGATTTTCTTCAGCCGAAAACATAATAATGTAGTATGTCTAACAAAACTTTTAGTATAAGTATAAAAATGTATTATTTCAGATGTCTCACACCCTTACAATGAGCTCAGCCCAGAATGGCTACAAACTAGGAGCAACATACATCGGTACCAAGCAGATCTCTCCCTCGGAGGCCTTCCCCGTCATTCTTGGAGACGTGGATCCTTCAGGCAATGTCAACTTCAGCTTAATTCACCAACTTACTCCGGAGATTAGGCTGAAGGGTGCTGCTCAGGTGTGTAAAACTTGTTCATACAAAGGTAGTCTCTAAACTTTGGAAATAAGGTCTATAATGTATGGGATAATTATTGAATTTGTCATGGTCACTATATCATGACAGATACACCAGGCTGCTTACTGAATCCAATTCTCATCAATCAAGTCGATATTGAATAAACTGGCTTTATATTCCATACTCTGAATGCAATTTTAACAGCTATGATTAGGGTTGTATAATGTTGAAATTGAATAATTATTGTGGTTTTATTTGATTGAAATTGACAATGAGATTAGTTTCAAAAGTAAGCACCCTTTAATGGTCCAAAAGAGAATTTTACCACACAGGCTCCTGAATCATAATCTATACTAATATTATAAAGCTGAAGAGTTTGTTGTTTTTGTTTGTTTGAACGCGCTAATCTTCGAAACTACTGGGCCGATTTGAAAAATTCTTTCTGTGTTGTGCCTTCCTCGATAAATGGGCGATAGCTATAGGCTATAAAATATCACGCTACGATTAATAGGCGCCGAGCAGAGCGAGTGAAGCGCGGAAGTAGCTAGTTTGTCTATATGCAGCCTTTTGATATTGACTGTTGACTGGCATTGTAATTGTAATTATGCTCTGTTTGCAATGAAATCAGTTGTATTTCAATTCATAGCAGTGAATTGTAACTTTGTCATCTTACTGCCAAGTACTGTAATAATAAAACTAGAGTTAAACTGGTTTATCTAATCTTTGATTTTTATCTGAGAAGTACCTTACCAGTACTTTATAAGTCAGGGATAAGAAATGACTGCATGGTTGACGCTGTAGCTAGGCGGATTCCTGCGCAACGTATCGCGGGTTCAATTCCCAAGCGAAACAATTCTTTATTGGTGAAATTATGTGTTAGTTAATATACCCACAACACAATAAAAAAAAAATTACGGACTAACAGTTTATAAAAAGTTATAATTTATTTCTATAGGTGCAAGAATGCAAGCTGACAGCTACCCAGGGTACCCTGGAGTACAAGGGTTCCGACTACACGCTCGCGATGGCTGTGGGCAAACCTGACTTTAATGAGAAGTCAGCTGTGTTCGTCGGGCACTACTTACAGGTAAATTATTCATCACTCACATCTCATCTTATGTATCTCCACATTCAACATGTGTTTTGGAGATCGCAGTATAAAAGGTTCGGTTTATCAGAGAGTGCAACAGACTGCCTCGTTGGCCGAGTGGTCGCAATTGCAAGGGGTCTCGGGTTCGATTCCCGGGTCGGGCAAAGTATTACTGAGTTTTTAAAAAAATTCTGCACGGAGTCTGGAACTGGGCCCAGTATATGTCTATAGGCTCAACCCCTATTACATGGGACTCAACATAAATAGTGAAAAGTGGGAGTTACATTGTACAGTGGTATAATGTGCACCTCTGCCTACCCCTTCGAGGATAAAAGGTGTGATGTTGTGTTGTGTGTGCAACAGCACTCTCTGATAACATGTATTGATCTGGTAACATTGATGTAACAACATACCACTTTTAAATAAGCAGTCCCGTAGTCGGCTCTTAAGATACCTGTGAGAAGTATAGAGTTGTGAATTGATGACAAATGTAATTTACTCTGGTCACCATCACACAGCGTCAAAGGAATTGAAATGAAATTTGGAAAAGGACTAGACTATGGTCTAGAATAACGCGTAGGCCACTTTTTATTCAACGGGAACGTTGACCCGGCGAAGCTAGTGGTTGTATATAAAAAAATAGTATAAAACAACCTCTATGTTTTATTTCCAGTCGGTGACAAAGCGGCTGGCGCTGGGCGCGGAGCTGGTGTACCAGTCGGGCGCCCGCGTCATGGGCGGAGAGATCGCTATCACCTCCGCCGCCGCCAGATATACCATGGACGGTAAGACGTCTTTAAATTGACTAACTACTTCCGCGCGGTTTCACACGCCCTGCTCAGCTCCTATTGGTCGTAGCGTGATGTTTTATAACCTTCCTCGATAAATGCGCTATACAACACAAAAAGAATTATTTAAATCAGACTTGTAGATACGGAGATTAGCGCGTTCAAACAAAAAAACAAACTCTTGCGCTTTATACCTATAAATTGATAATTTGAAAGTAAGCAATTTTATTGGCACTGCCCCGCAACACCAGAGAAGACGAGTGCGTGTAGTCTTTTGAGAGGTATTGGGCCTCCTTTAAAATTTTTATGTGATGTTTCCAGACTCGGAAGTATCAGCGACCCTGAGCTCGGCTAACTTCCACTTGTGCTACTTCAAGCAGTGCAGTGAACAATTACAGGTAAGAACTAGGAATATTTGAAAACAGTTTTCTAATAGTTAAAGACAGTGTCTTTAACGATTACCAGGATTTGGACTGGTTGACTGTAAAAGTCAGTTCATACATAAGTATTAAAGTTTTTATACTCAATCTGTATTATTTGAATATCTTTTCAGGTTGTTGCGGAAATGGACACCTCATTCAGAGGCATGGAATCGGTCGGTACCATTGGCTACCAGGTCAACATACCCAAAGCAGATCTAATCTTCAGAGGTAAGTGCTCTCTTGCATTGTGTTCTCATATGTTTCATGAACTTTAATTGCTATTGGACTCGCGAATTAGCTACAGGATTACAGGACAAAGTTCCTCTCAGTCGTAAACTTGTATTTAGTTTACATATATTAATGTATCAAGGAGCATTGTGAATGTCTACTGCAGCTACGAGTATTGAGCAATGGTAGCTGCCCACGGACGTAATAATATTTTATCCAAAAATTAAAGACTGACATAATTGAAGTCAGTATAGAACTGTGTTATAGAGTGATTTACGATCTTGAAGGTGTCTTCTTGAATGCTTAATTAACTTCAAGAACTACTTAAAAACTTTTCATTATTTAACATTTCCAATAAACGTTTTCTTTCCAGGAATGGTAGACTCAAATTGGAACATCGGAGCAGTTCTGGAAAAGAAGCTGCAGCCGCTTCCATTCACATTTGCTCTGTCGGGAATGGCGAACCAGGCCAAGCAACAGTTCAAATTTGGGTGCGGTCTAATCATTGGTTAATGAGTGATTCTGATGACTGTGAGGCGAGTCAAGCTAGTGACCATGTGATATAAAGTGAATAAAGCATTCTTGAAGTGAATAAGTTATTATGTGTGAAATTTTATCTTTGTCACTAAATGTGGAAAGAAAACATGTATACAAGTGTAGTGCAAAACTAGTGTTTTACTACTTTAAATATCTGTTGCCGTAATACTGAAATACCACACAATTTTATGTTGTACTTGAATAGTGAGCCATTCTGTTATGTTACAAAGTATTTGTAGTTGCAGAAACATATCTGAGTGTCTTAAAATTGTTTGGCATTTGAGCGTTTAAGCGTGTTTTTCAAATGTGGATTTCAATGTGGCTATGCTAATTAATATCTTGATTGCTGGATTGTTATTTCTTAATTATGTTTTAATTGGAATTCTAAGCGTGTTGCGATCAATATGTGAAAAGATTATTAGCTTTTAAAAGAGTGTATCTAATGTTGCATTTTCAAAACTTTATGTCCACCGAGATAAGCTAAATGTGCTGCACATAGTGAAGGCTAAAGATCATGTATTTAATGTGAATGTGTTCATCCATTTTCTGTGTATTATACCTTTGTCTTAGAATTTCACGATTATTGTGACCACTAGCTTGATTTTGTCAAATGTAATATTAATTTAGTCTAATATTTACTTGGTTGGTGTTAGGGAACCTAGTTATTGGACTTCCATTCAAGTAAATATCAATGTTCATAGTTTTGGGACGAATTCTGAACATTTCTCATTTACTTATTTTAATTAATATTCAATAATAGTAAATTCTTGTAATAATGAAACAATTTTAATGTATTTGAAATGTTATTTAATAATTTTCACTTGTTCTTTGCTACAAATGTACAAACTTAAGTAATTTATTATCTAAGTGTATTTTATAAAAATATGGAAGTCCAAAATGTAGGTTAGTCGCATATGTTAGCTGATTCCTAAATAAATTAATAGATATGTATCACAAGTTGTGTGAATGTATTGATATGAGCCCGGACACCATGTAAACTATGTATTGATTCTTTTTTCTTGGACATTTTATGTATACCTTATTTTTATTTCTTTTATTATTATGCTATACTGTTTGTAAACACCAGAATCGCATTTATGACATAAAAACTCGCTCTAAGATGGCTAAAAGAATATGTATTAAATTAACTTCCTATTCTGATTCTCAGTCTGCAGTTTAATTTGCGATATTTTATACATATAGCTATTTTAATAGGATAGGATTATTTTAATACAAGACTAAATTTTATATATTGTTTTACTGCCGTAAATGTCTTAGAGCGAGCAACTATCTGGGTATCCCGTTTCGTCGTCCCCCTACCAAAATAACACAACCCCATCTATATTGGGGTGCAAACTTGCTTGATGTCTTTCGCTGCCATTCGCTGCTACGGCGGTATAAGAGGGTGGACATGTGCAACTTATATGTCAATTTCAATTGTATTTTTATGTGTAACTATGTATTTTATGTTGTAGTAATTTTGTGTAACATTGGACCTATATAGTAGTGTCACTTTGGGTTATATACGCAGAAACTACATGTTTGTGTTCAGATAAATGCATTATATTAAAACAGTTTTGGGTATAGATGTTAAATAAATAATGAAACATGGTGGTTGATGTGGTACAATGTAATACCATTGTTATTTAGTAACCCTAAACTAGGATATTCTTCAGTGTCATGGGTGCGTAATTACAAACATGCTTATCGCAAATAACTGGAACAACAATTTGTGAACACAAAGAGCTTAATCCTGAAACTTATTACCATACTTCCCAGCTGCCGTGCTAATCGGGGCTATCCTATCCAATGTTACGTAAAATAACTAATTGCTATATGAATAAATAAACCAAATATTTGTAATGATCTGAGTGATCAAGTCTCGAGGCAGTTGCATATGTACATCCTCTTTCAGTATGAGTGTAGATAGGTTATGGCATACTGTACAATGTACATAGCGCCTGTTGTTAAAATGTTTATTTTTAATATAGTTACTTATGTTAATAAATCAATTTGTTGTTTTATTTCTACATTTAGCTTCTGCCAGCTGGCTTAGTTCTACCCCTGTTCGAAGTTTCATCTTGATCCCTTCAGACACCCTGAATGTTCATGAAATTATAATTTTACTTGACTTTATACTATAAAAGCTGATTTTTATAAATAATATTTGGGTAATAGGTAGACGATGTTTCTTCATTATCCAGACACTTGATAGTTCCAACCCCTTACCAGACAAGCATGTAGGATTTGTAACACTATCCTACATATTTTAGAAGGTACTATAATGTTCTGCGTTTTCGCTTTTTCGTAACCACCTAAACTTGGTCGGGTATTGTTTTTTAAGATGGGAAAATCATCGAATGACTGCACCCGCCTAGTGTCAGACTCTTATTGACTAAAAACCACCCCGTTCCTTCTGCACGTCGAGCCGGTGCCCCGGTAACCCGTCAGGGTCTCCGCGACTCCGAATCGGCATCGGCCCTGTTGGGCCCCATCTGTGGTGGTCTGATGGCTCTTTGAGGCTCGCGCGGAACGCGACGCGCCGTACGCTAGTTACCACGGTCTTTCACTTCCTAATGACTTTAATCGTATTATCTCATTAATTATCCAATGTACTGAGCTGAAATTGTACTTATATACAACTGTACTAATAAACTAATTATTGACATACCATTCAGTTCATATATCCAATCCAGTGGCCAAATAACACCGCGCGCATCAAGACCGTGCTCGTGAAGAACTCAATATCATCATAACTTGTTAAGTAAATTTAGTGAATATGTAAGTCAAATATTTTGTTTTCCAATATCAATATTTTTATTTTAAAACTTCGGTTCAAGCCCGGTTTCCACTGCGAAAAGGTAATGTGCGGAAAATGGTTAGGCGGAACGGACTCCTTTTAATGAAATAGGTTTGCGTTTCCACCAACGAAGAGTTAGTCATTTGATTTCCACTGCAAAATGAAACTGAGATAGAGAAATGAGCGGACTGAGCTGAACGGAAAATGAGAAATGAAAAACGAATAGATAATTTCCACAGGGAACGAGTTCAGTCAGTTGAAGTTTTTAGCTGGTTGCGTGTTGTTGCGATGTTATCGAGTGATGACTGATTATGTATACAGAAAAAATAAACACGTATTGTTGTATCTTATGCAAAGAAAAAAAAGCGCTAAACGAAGATTTTGGCTGGGCCAGCATATTCAAGAACGTAAATTAAAAGGGGAATTTAGGCTGTTTTATGATTTAGACGACGAAAAATTTAAGAATTATTATTAAACTGTCAAACACCAAGCGGTCACCGGTGACCGCGACCTATTGTTCTTTAATTGTGTCTATAAAACCGGTACTCGACGAGTTAACAACACGTGTTACTCGACTGCCATAACAAACAACAATGCGGTGATGCGAGCGCCAGCCGGCGCGTAGCTCGGGAGGCGAGAAGCGCGGAGGCAGACAGCGTGCGAGTCCGTTCTGAACTAGCCGGTGCAGGCCTTGCGCAGCGGACTCTTTTCAATTTCTTTTTACTCGCTCAATCCGCCCCGCTCACCACTTTCTATGTGGAAACGCTACTATGTAAATTGTAATTGCGAGTTGAGCGGAGTCCGTAAGTACTCCAATCCGCTCTCTAGAACTGAGCGAGCTCATTTCTACTCTTTCTACACGCTCGGCTCTTTCCGTCCGACTATTTGTTGGTGGAAATACAAGTTTGCAGTTTGCGTTTGCGAGTTTAACGAATTCATTAATGGGTCCGTTCCGCTCGCGGTGGAAACCGGGCTTCATTTTAACATAGTGGGTGATGGGTAATTAAGCCTTAGGGTGGAAGGGTATTATTAAAATGCTATCATAAAAACCAATAACTAAAGGATGAGACAATAAAAGACAGATATAGTTTAAAAATAACGTAAGTTTATTACATGTAATGAAATAAAAATATAATATTATAAACTTTTATTCTGTTACATGTATAAATGATTCCGTGCCGCGGGCGGATTGCCCGTCATATTTTGGTAATATATTCAACCTCGATTATAATTATATCCATAAACCGAACAATTGTGACGTGATTCGACGCCATATTGTCAATTATTAGAAAAAATAAAAGTTCATATTTATTGATAATCCTGTTTCACGTCACCATTGTTATTGCTAACGAGGGCTTTTAAATTCGCCATGGATTATGTCAAAATGTTGCCATTTACTTTTTACGTTTAGTTACTACTGTTTCTGATACTATTTGAGTAGGACCTGTGATTATTTTAAAAGCCCTCGCTATCCTCTTCGTAAGTATTATAAGCTACACATCGACACCACAGCGACTTTATTCTAACTGTATATTCATACCGACAAAGCTGGGTGGACAATAAAAATTTTCAGACAAAATCCGGTCAACCCAACTTTCCTTGAAGTACAACTAAGAAATTTTTAACTTGTTACTTTCTTATTACCAAAAATATAATATATTATTATGGCTGAGTTTTCAAAGATACGATAAATGTCTATCATTAATTATATTTTTTTCGTGTTTGTTTTTAAACTCTATATTATTATAGCCTAAGGACTTATGAATAAGATTGCAACACTTACAGTTCGCAATGTGTCAAACATTGGGGGCGCTTGTACACAATGGCGCGCGCTGACTGCCTCATGCATGGGGTGAAAGAATGAACACGTTTACTGAGTAAATGGTTGGGTATGTAACACATGCCATTGTGTACAAGGGCCAGAAGAGATCTGCATTAAGATACTTTTTGAAATGTTCTTTTTGGTTCGCGCGCAAGCTCACTGATATGTTCGCTAACACCAACGGAAAGTAGCAACGTAATGTCATGTTATAAAATAAATGTTTCACCGCGGTAGTCAGCCATATAAACCCATTCATGCAGATACAAAACTTTAAGTCTTATTAAGTATAATTATTGAGAAACATACATATCTAAGTCGACTGACTCGATAACATTTTAAACAAGGGAAGCGCACGAGTGTACATTATAATATCGATAATATTAATTCCAATATAATAATAACATTAAATAATTCGGTTTTATAAATATATTTAAACAAAAAGAACATCACAAAACTTGCTATAACACCAACATCTGGCAGGATCAGCTTGAATCGTCGCCAAACTAGATATTTGAAAAATTACATCAAATACTTCTCCCATATTTATACAAATAACTATGCATTGAATTACAACTAAAATTGCTTTATTTAAACTATTATTAATACTCTAACTAATATACTTTTGTATCTATGATTACTATTATTATTTCAATAAAATTTGTGATGTAACAAGTCTTTAATAGGGTCCAAATTTGAATGTCAATTTTTCAAATGACCAGTAGTTTGGGCGCCCGAACAAAATGCTATTGTATTTGGTGAAGCGTTCTGCCAACTAAACATATAGCTTGTAAACACCGCCACAACACAACCTTTGTGAAAAAATATACTTTATTTATATGGTATTATGGTTGGTTTTGTAGTGAATTGTCGATGTACAAAAAACATGTTAGAGTGAGATGCAACTATACGTAATGTATAGCGCTATCTCGTTTTGCAAACAGATTGTGTGAGTAACCATTACAATAATAATTGTGAGATAATTACAAAGACCATTTCGTATTTTTAATATCAACCAATAACTGACAGAAAAGGTGTTCAAATATTATTTAAATATAATAATTTGTTCTTGATAAACGTCAAATTTAATTAAAATGGCTGATTTTCTTCGTTATGGTCTTTATAAATTATCTCGTTTAGTAGAAATAATATGAACTTGTTTCCTGTTACCAAAATATTGTCAAATAATGCCCCCCATTGCAGTTTTGTATTGAATCATAACAAATACAATATTTTACTTAAAATTTAACAAGTAAATTAAGATAAATGACAATGACTAATGTTGGCATAATTAGCTTAATATTAAAATATCGAATAAAATCAAAATTCGATTAAAAAAATCGTACCAAATTGGCGGTGTTCGAAGCATAAAAAATAATGATTGTGCTAAGAAAAAAAAAATTATAGCAACAAACAAATCTAAAATCGTCAAACCGCAATTAGACTAAGTACAGTTTTTTTCTTTTAAATATATAAAATTCTCGACCTCTTTCGACGAATTGACTTCAATTATTTTCCATTCACACAAACCAAAGGGAAGAAATGAAAATCACAGTATCGCTATTAGTAAAGCGCCAATTCTTTCAACAGGTAACATTGGCGAGAGCATAGACAATCGATAGAGGTGTTGCCAACAACGAAAAACATGGGCTGGGTGGAAATTAATCAGAAATATAATTATAGACAAATTCGAATTTTTGAGGTAGACAGAATTATAGCTGGATTTACGATATAATTAATATTTGAGACTGAACTTTCGAAATTACTTAGTTAAACTAGATTTATGAACAACCTTAGTGGAAGAATAGAAAATGGAAATGATGGAGATATCGAAGTTTAGATTCTAAGTGTCTTTATTTAAAGCGCAGCTGTTCACTAATCTACAATACAACAATACATTATAAAGAAAAAATATTAAAATCTCGAGAATAAGATAATAAACCGGCCAAGTATCCCGCCCAGCCCAGTCGTCACAAGAGGGAGTTCGACATTTCACAATGACACATCGTTTCGAATACAACTAAAATCATATTAATAAAAAAAAATTAAATACCTATGAGATATAGTGATGACTTTAGTCCGACGACTCGGGCTCATTAAGTTGGATTTATACTATGGGACAGATAGGATATTTACAAAATGCTATCTCGCTCACTCATACCGTGTGTGTTGCCAGTCGTGAAAACTCTCCAACTAAATAGATTAACGTTAGTCTATGATACATTTAATTATATATTTTTTTCGAAAGTTATCTTCAAGAATATAGCGTACGTCTTTAAGTTAAAATCTAATGTTTAAATGTTCGTTACGATAACCTAGCGGTGTTTTTGTTGCAATTAATGTTGCTAGTATACTTAATATGGATTTCATAGCCCAAGGGTGCAGCTCAACTAGGCTATAACAACAAATGTCATGGTTTCTCAATTATCTTCTACTTTTAAAAAGATATGGGTCAGGAACAGTTTAATTTTGCTTGGTGATTATCAATCCTCAATTCTAGTGTAAATTATTGATATTGATATTACATAAATCTTTTAATACCACTAGCAACATTGAAATTACAACAAGCACGCACCTACATTCCTACGCGAAGAAATGATTGACCTAGGCCACACCATAAACAGATTACTTTGCTTCTAGCAAATTAGTACTCAAATGAGCCTAGACCAATCAATTCTTTACATTCTAGACGCAACTAGAGCTAATATTAAACCCTAATTTGAATAAAATAGGATTACTATAAACTTTCTACAGCTATTTCGCTCGTAAGCTCCCATTTATAAAGTATTAACTCTAGTTGCGCCCCCCGTCTGTTTCCAAGCCTACTCCTACATTACGATTCGTGAACACTTTTTTTTCTCTACCGATTTTTAGCTAATCTTAAGCATAGACACATTTAAGAGAAGCCAAACATTCCTAAGAAACCTTAACATTTTCCAACACACCGAACGACTAAAAAAGTTAAATTTTACCATTTTTATATAATTACGATCATCATGCATAATATACTTTATTTATTTATAATTTTAAAATATAACATTAAAGCGTTTTGTGTTCGCCGCCACGGGGGTATCTGAGCATTTTTTTTTAACTTCTAAATTGGCAAAGTTCGTGGTCCATTGATATATAGAGATACTTTTACTTTTTTTATATAAAGATGGCGGCGAACGTCTGTATGAGTACAGATAACTGGCTTTTGGTTGATATTGTGTTGTCTGTGGTCTAACGTAGACATAACTTTATATTATTTATGTATAGCATATTTTCTGGCTTATAACGTCACGTGTAGATACAGCATAAAGCTCATTGGTTAATCTACGATTATAGCGTGATAATCAGCCAATCACGTTACACATAGAGAACACACGTAAACACATTACGACGACCTACTTATTCAGCTCAGTACATTTATTAGGACTACAACCTTTTACGAAGATATTAGAATATCATAACATCATACAAGTAAATGTTCAAAGTTAAAGTATTTACAATGTTTAAGTGTGGATAAGATGTCAAACATTAATTTGAAGTTACCAGAAGTATGCAATAATACACATTGATTGTAGAATTAAGGGACTGTCCATGCTGAATCGTGAAGTACTATTAATTGTAATAATATTATTGCTTTTGTCATAAAAGATAGGTATGTTAATTTGATATTATGTCTTTCAAAACGTTATTACTCTTATTGTGAAATCTATATTATCAGCATGGACAATTCCTTAACCACAAGACATCTTTGACAAATATACTTTATCGAATTATTTAAAATAATTCCACTCATAATTATTCAAAAAAGTACCTAAAGACAAGTTATTCTTTCATTTAAACAACAAATAGTCCTAAATCATAAACAGAATAACGATCAAAACAATAAAATGGCAACACTAAAAACAAACCGTCGAAAGTGACAGCGAAGACGAACTGTCAAAGTGACAGCTTAAGAAGGTGTTGCCATGAAAGAAAACATTAGACCACAAACAAAACGTTCGTTTTTAAACACACAAGGCAGTGGCGAGTGAGCAAGTATTACTTATCTGTGGTAGCTTATGTTATAACTCCATGTCTTGCGCTTCATCGTCGCTGAACTCGCTCATGGAGCTCTCTGTATCGCTATTGTTGTTGGCATTGCCGTTGGACGGCTTGGAGCCCGACGAGGCGGGGGTTGCGCCCCCCATGCCAGTGATCGCGTCCTTTTCTAAAAGGGCCTCCTCGGTCGCGAATCTTCGGACATAATCTGGAATGTTTAGATGCGGTGTTATTTTGCGTATTTGATAAAGCTGGGCTAGTGATATGATGAAATTGGACAATGATTGCAGTAGCTGGTTTGGTAGGTACAGTGACAGGATAACTGGCTACTGTACAAGATGTCGCGAATTCAAAACGGAACGATTCTTTGTGTAATCCACAAATTGTTGGTCTGAGTCTGATGAGATCAGGGAAGCAATTCGTAGACCACGTAAAGAATAGTTCCATGCAAGAATCGAACCCCCAACAGAACACGTTACCCAGCCTTACCCAGCCACTAACTCAATCGTGCAGTCATCAATTAGTATTAAACCAAATCATAATGAAAAATCTGGCAGGGACATTGTATGCGTTAGTATAACAAGAATTGGCCGGCAGCCATATTGCGACCGTCAATGGAGACGCGATAGACTATGTGTCGCTTGTCGTACAATGTCACTAGACAATCAACAGCTGATCGTAATATAGTAAAGTTTAACCTAGTAACATAATTATGTTCGGTCTCAATAAACGAAGAGCAATAAATAAATGAAGAAATACGAGAGAACAATAAATAAAGAGTAACGAATGGAGTTTCTTGCTCGTTCTTCTCCATTCGAATCTACTTTTTGGAATGAGCACCTAGCTTCACCTAGTTTCACTGACGGACTGACTGACAAACTATTATTTATTTTGTATTTGTTGACGTTTCAAAAGCACCAAACTATGGTTTAATTGAAATAAATGCTTTGACTTTGACTTAGAAACTGTTTTACGATGCATGTGGTGACTTGAGATAGAATTTTTGACTGAAGTTGCATACAAAATGTATGCAACTATAAAATATCAGCTTCAAAATGTCTACAACTGAACTAGGCCTCCCTCTAACAATAGCCAGTAACAACAATAGCTAGCCTCCCTTAATGATTTCCAGATAAACAATAAACATACATTGGTACCTTTCCCTATTTGCTAACATATTGTTTATACATTAACTTTCTATTCTTTTAAATTTTGCCAAGAAAATAACTATCAAAAGCAAACAGAATATATTTATAAGCGACTAGTATATTCGAAGACATAAACAAACAAAGAAGCGAATATGGTAGCTTCGTAAATTATACAGGAACTGTAATACTACATTCTAGAATTCGACGTCATTTAGTAGTGCGCAATTGAATTCTGGTAGTAATAAATAATTGAGTCCATTAATGTTTTCATATGCGCAATAATTGTATATTCCAGACATGTATACACGTGCCTCCATCTTCTTTGGTAGGAAATTTTACTCCTACGAAATCATGTCTTCAAAATTAAATTTTAAAGTGTCACCCACTCAACTAATATAAATGACTTATCTGAAATTGTAATGAATTGTGACATCTGAGTGCCTAGCACGAGTAACTATCGCATTCGTAACGTAATAGTATCGATCGCGTTCGGCGCTCTGATTGGCCGGCTCAAGTGAACCAATCAGAACGCTTAACTCGCTCGATACTGTTACGATACGAATGCGATAGTTATTCGCACTTAGCCCTCAGATGATGTGAGGGCTAAGTGCGAGATTTGCTTACGTTTATTTCTGCGAGATTATCTTACGTTTAAGCATTCGAAACGAGACGGCAGTCGGCGCTCTGAGGGTTTAGTACAAGTTTATTTTACGTTGAAAGTAATTTAAATTTTGTACGCGTTCGGCGCTGTGATTGGCCGGCTCCAATGAACCAACCAATCAGAGTACCGGACGAGGTTTCGTTTCAATTACTTTAAACGAAAAAGAAACTCGTACTAAGACCTCTGAATGGCCGGCTCTAATGAACCAACGTTAACAGAGCGCCGAACGCAGTCTTGTACTAAACCTCGTAACAAACTTGTATTAAACCCTCTGATTGGCCGGCCCCAAAAGATAATTCAGTTGTGGGAAACAACGAATATCAGTTGTTGCACATGCTCTTTTCTACATATCATACTAGTAACAGCCTAAATAAATAAATGAACAATAATAATAAAAAAAAATATTGGGTGTGAAATACATTTTTGACATTAGTGTCATCAAAAATCCAGATTGAATTATAAACCAACCAGTCAGTAATGTACAGTACGGTTCACGAGTTATGGCGGGTGTGACGTTCGCGCAGAATATTGCGCAATAACGTACTTTAGGAACCAAAACCGCGACGTGAGCGAGACAGGGATATGCTAGAGATTGACTGTAAAACACAATCGTTTTATTGTTTAATAAATTTATTTGCGAGTATACATGGGCGAAAGTGACTTGCGGCTAACTTCACCCCGTCATAACTCGTGAACCGTACTGGATGTATGTTTCAATTGCAGAACCCACATTAAAGTTTACTTAACCAATCTAATTGATATATAAGTAATCCTTATGTTCATATTATTTACCTGAAACTTTCTTCTTGTACTCCTCAGGTTTGTGCAGATACATGGCGGCGGCGTCGCCGTTCAGGGGGTCGATGGGGTTGGGGTACGTCAGCAGCTGCGGCAGGAACGACTCGAATATGTTCGACAGGTCTGGAATATACACAAACAGACATGTAAGTATATTACAAGTATTTAGGTAGGTTTAACAATTTTACTTTAACTAAATTCCCAAGCGGTCACCGATGACCGCTCTCCACTAACTACATTATAGACCTTATTTCCAATGTTTAAAGACTACTTTTGTATGAACAAATTTAGGGGATGATATTTCAACAGGTTAAATGTACATTATATTCAAGATTTCTGTTGTTTCGAACATTTTTATGGGATAATCCGGTAAACGAGCAGATGGATCAATTGATGGTAAGGAATCGGGGTCGCCCATGGACACCTGGAATACCAGAGGCGTCAAAAGCATTACTGGCCTTTTGGTATTAGGAATTTGGGGATTGTTGGGGCCCATGGATTGGGAAAGCTTAAAGGAGGGGTCCTTTAAAGGGTAATTGGGCCTCCGGTAACCTCACTCACGCGACGAAACACAATGCAAGCGTTGTTTCACGTCAGTCTTTTGTGAGGTCGTGGTATCACTTCGGTCGAGCTGGCACTTTCGTATCAGAGCGGCATGCTCTTCCACATTTCTGGTTCAATAACAAAGTCACCTACTACATTGTCATTATTTCACTACTTTAAAACACAAGTTTATAATTCCAGAGTTACCTAACTTAACTATGATAATAAATATAAAACAATACCCTGACCGCGGACTGTGGTCGAATGCCATCCGTCCTGTGGTCATCTTGATATTGAAACTTAACTTATCATAGTTATTATTCTACACAGACCTCAACCTTGAATTACGTTTTTGACTAGAATAAAAACCTTTAATATATTTACAGAGTTTCCTTGTTTACTATGAATTTAGACCGCGCCCGGATACTGCAGAGTAAAATATATTTCACTAGCTACTTCCGCGCGGTTTCACACGCTCTGCTCAGTTCCTATAGGTAGTAGCGTGATGTTTTTAGCCTATAGCCATCCTCGATAAATGTGCTATGCAATACCAAAATAATTATTCAAATCAGACTTGTAGTTACGGCTTAGCGCGATCAAACAAACAACAAAAAAACAATCTCTTCCGCTTTATATAATATAAAGTATCGTCCAATTTCAATAACCTATCTATCTGTAGATTTGCTTACTAGAGATAGAATTTTGACATAAGTTCCATACAAAATGTATCAAAATTCTATCTCTGGTAAGCAAATCTACAGATAGATAGGTTATTGAAACTGGCTGTAAGAGTATAAGATATCACCAATGTTTTTATTTAGATTACATCTAGCTTTTGCCGATGGCTTCGACCACGTGTGTATTATTTAAGACCCTTGTTCCCACCCCGATCTCTACACTCTACAGTCATTTTGACTGATCTGTCTGATTGACAAACAACAATTCACAGAAACTCGAATCCCACTTTCGCATTTATAATATGAATAATCCTAGGGAGATATCCCAAGAAATGTGATTGAAGCTATAGAAGTATGTAAACTTAAACATCATATGTAGGTAATACAGTTTATCTATGGTTCTAAGACAAAGGTGTGAGTTTGTATTGACTTGAGTAGTCCTAAAATACATATTGTTCTTAGAACATATTTGAATGACTCATAACAAAACAATAATCTATTATGTTCCTAAAGAGTAGACCTTTAAATAAAAAAATATGTAAACAATAATTTTCGCCAGTTTCCTTATTTTACTTTATAATAATATAATAAGCCAAATTATGCAAAATAATTATAAAAAACATACGAATAGAATTAAACATAATAATACAATGGCGCTTGCTTATTTAGAAACGACATTCAAACATTCTTTCCGCATTTTATAACCCTTATTTAGTCTCCCAACACAATGGTTGACCCAAATTAAGGATATATCGGGTCTCTCAAGCATGCCAGAAACATAAACACAGGAGAAGCTATGCTTAAAACCCATGACAAGGAATTGCAAAGCAGAAACAACCTTTTAGTAATCAAAGAAACGAAGAAATGTAATAAGAAACGAGTCTATAATACTCTACAGTACTCTAGAAGGGTTTTTTTGTTTTTTTAAGGGGGGAAAATCATCGAATGACTGCTCCCGCCTGGGTGAGGCGGGAAGGAGTGTCAGACTCTTACTAACTAAAAACCACCCCGTTCTTTCTCCTGCGCGTCGAGCCGGAGCCCCGGTTACCCGTTAGGTTCTCCGCGACTCTCCAGAAGGGTAATACTCGTCCATATACGTTCTACATGAAAGGAGTTTGGCACTGCTGGGCCGGCTCGACCGGAGTGATACCACGACCACATAATAAACCATCATGAAATAAGAACCTTGTTTTTCGCCAAATGAGTGAGGTTACCGGAGGTTTAATCCTGCACCAATGCACAAGTGACTATTCTAGTGAGTAGCATTGATGACGCCAATTGATTTCATCAAGTGATCAGTCTTCTTATCATCAAAACTCACCATAAAGCGCAGTCCAGGCCTGGTTGATGACGTCAAGACACACGGTGCCGGAAACCTCGTCGATGTTGGGATGGTAGACCTTGTTCATGAAGCCGATGGAGGGAGACTTGAAGGGGTAGTGGTCTGGCAGGTGCACGCGGACTCGCCACACACCGCCCTCATATGGAGCTGGAAAATTATCAGCCATATATGTTAATTAAAGTGTGTTTCTATTTATAATGTAGTTTATTTTGCCTCTTAAACTGCTGCAACGCCTGTAAACCAAGATCTACAATAAATAAAATCATGAATACACCGAAACAATGAAGTCCAGGGACTTTTAACAAACTCACTTAGATCACTGGAGTAAAAAATAATATTTACTTCTTAACATTACAAAAATACTTGCAAGTATTGTTGCAAAAATATAGTAATTAATTAAATAGATTGATACAGTAATTAGGATTGAAAAAATGTCTTATTAATTCTTTAATACATTTATCAAATACATAAAAAAATGTTGATAAAAATACGTATACTCGTATAAGACACAACTTAGGTCCGTTTGTCATATTTTTTGGCAGATTAATTTCTACATCCCATCAACATAACATTGGAATAAATCTTATAAATGAAAAAATAAATGTTTGTTTACTTACTGCCTGGAGGGCCGAAGAATTTCACGCAGAACTCGTTGAGTCCACCCAGTATAGTAACTTCATGTTTGCTTTCAATACTGAATTAATACATGTTAAGGAAATGCAATCGTTTTGTCAAATAACAATATACATAAATATAAGATACCTGAAGAACCGCTTAACAATTAATTTTATTTTGAGGTGAAATGCCCTAAGACTACCTTTACCTTTTTGGGTTAACGAGCGTGTCATTCTATTATTGATTCCTGCTGGATAAGTCCGAATAAATACACCCCTAAAAAGCTAAACACGTCCTTAACCTTAACCGGTTTGTGTCGTGTCTACGATTGTTTTATTAATTTTGCAAATACACAGATATAGACTGTAAATGCTATAACAAAATGAATGCTAATGGCATGCAAGTCATAAACCTCTCCCTGTTTAATTAATGTCTGGCGTTTCCCCCCCTCCCCCTACTTGCCATCAATTTCCCTACTATCTTTGTTGTCTGGCTACACCACAATACTTATTATGGGTATGGTCTCTATGTGAAATTCAAATGCAGACATGATGAAGAACAGAGTACAACACTAAATACCTGTAAGACCAAAAAAGTACGTGTTTTTTTATAACAACAAGAATTTTTAAACATTCAATAAAATATTCAAGTGTGTCAATTTGTTCAAAAGTCTCTAAATATGATTTAATAGCTACTCCCGCGGTTTCACCCGCTCTCCTCGGTTCCTATTGATCGTAGCATGATGTTTTATAGCCATCCTCGATAAAATTACTATTTGATACAAAAATATTATTTTTTAATTGAAGAAATAGTTCCAGAGATTAGCGTGTTAAAACAAACAAACTCTTCAGTTGTATAAGAAGTATAAGATATAAAATGAAATAACTGATTTAACTAGACTTTATAGAAATGTTTGAAACGAGGATAAGTATAAATGAAGGACTTATAACAATATACAAACAGTCCTAATAGTATAAGATATGAAATGAATTAACTGTTTTGACTGTAGAAATGTTTGAAAAGAGCATAACTATGAATGGAAGGACCTATAACAATATACAGATAGTGCTTTTACAATAAACAGACTAAAGTAAATTAACTTTTGCCCGAAACAGTCACCGAGATACCTAAGTAAGAAAATGAATATTGCCTCTTATAATTATACTAAATTGTATGCTTTTTAACAAAACCATAACTTTTGTAAGCATTGGTCAGTTCAGTAGCCATTTCTTAGTAGTAATTGGGCCTTCGGTAACCTCACTTACATGACGAAACACAACGCAAGCGTTGTTTCACGTCGGTTTTCTGTGAGGCCGTGGTATCGCTTCGGTCGAGTCGGCCCATTCGTCCATGGCTCTCCCACACTTAAGTTGTAGAGGATTCAATAAAATAAAAAAGAAAATCGCTAGTGGCTCCGTTTCTTTGAAGCCAAGCTTGGTTGAGCTACAGCTTCCTAAGTACGTTGTAACTGTTTGTCATCACACGGGATACGTAAATATCATGTTACTCTAGTCTAATGCGTAATCTTATCAGCTAATCATGTCTTCCTATCTGTGTCAACAGGAAGCAACTAGTTGGCAGGTACTTTAAATTTTAGGGTCTACAACTGAGCATATTATGGTTAGTTTTTGTCATCAAGTTGAGGTAGAAATGGGATTCAGTATAAAAGAAGATTTAACCCATGGTATGGCCGATGCAGAAAACTAAAGTTACTAATGTATCCCAAAGGATTAGCAAGCTGCGGTTACATTTGTCGAAGAACCAATGACCGTTGGAGTAGACGTGTTCTGGAGTGGAGACCGCGTCTAGGCAAACGTAGTATAGGGCGCCCTTCAGCTAGGTGGAGTGACGATATATGTAAAGTGGCTGGTAGTGGTTGGATGCGTAGAGCTGAAGACCGAGTGGCGTGCTATTGGAGAGACTTATGTCTAGCAGTGGATGAAAACAGGCTGTTGATGATGATGATGCCCGATGCCGAACGTAGATATACGCGAGACACAATGTGTTTTCTATTGTGTCTCATATGCCGCAAGATAAGAGGTTAAGGATATATTAGCAAAAAATACAGGGTATGATTGAATAGACAGGTCTCCGTTCACCCTTTTGAAAAGGTTCATAAACCTGCTTGTTTTTTCAAAATCTCTTTATTATAAATGTCGCCACGTAATGAATGATACGACAAAAATATTATTGTATTCCTTATCAAACTCATAGTGGAATATCTTTACGTATTTTTACGATAATAACTGAAGATAAAGAAAACGTAGTGATAATGCAATAATGGCGGCTTTAGACTGCGTTGTCATACTATGATGTTTTTGTAAAACTCCCACAATCTCGGTTGATAAGATAATGCAGAAACAAGACAAATGAAGGTATGACGTGAAAGCAATTATGAGAGTATAGGGTTTTTGTATTAATCTGTGTATGCTATCTTATATGCAAAGGCCTGCATCAAATCCTTTCATAAGCCTTAAACGCAATGAAGATGACCTTAGGGAATGGTGGGAAGGAACCTTAAAAGTACGGTTACATCTATAAATTCCGATCAAAATATCCAAATGTTATCTAGCCAAAAATCTCAGTAATCTTTTGGCCTAATTTCTACCGGTATCATATCAGTGCACCGTTCAACGTAAGGTGTTTTAAAAGACCTTCACTGACTGTTGATTTTTTGGTCATTCGAAGGTAGGACTGAGCAAAAAATCTTTCTTGCCTTGCAAAAACGATTATACGACTTTTTCTATATATAAACCAAGTATTTCATTAGTTTTGCTTGCAATGCCGTCTTGATAATTAACAAATATTTATAAAGATACTAGATCATATAAAAGGATCAGAATCAGTAATAAAAAGACACACAACTAATAATTTTTAAAGTAGTTCAGTGTCTCTAACACTGAACAAAAATCTATTACAAATAATTGAAACGAATTACCTTTCGTTTTAGCTTGTTTACTACAACCAACACAAAAATCATTGAAAAGCCTTCCGCTTGAAGGCTAAACACGTCCAAAATAGCCTGTTGCTGTGGGCAGCACTGCAGCAGTTGGTTGGTTCAGTGTAGCCACATGCAAACGATTAATTATGTAAGTGTAGATGCAGACGGATATCAATCGATACTGTCTGGTCTTTGTTTGAACCAGGAGTGACCGAGTGCCGCCGGTCGGGGACCTCTTTGGTATACAGGATCATTTTAATAACGAGGGTCAACGTTCGCGAATATTTAGGGAGCGATTTTTATTTATTTTACGATTTCAATTTCATATCAAGTGAAGGTCCATGTTGTGGGTTCAAATAGGAATTCGCAATGTGTATTTGGGAATCCAATGGGAAAAATAGTTACATGAAGGTCATGGAAATGTAATGACTCAGCCATAAAAGACGGCAATAAGAGTACTCAAAAAAGACTAAGATTTTCCATATTCTACACTTAGTATGACGATTCATCTACCAATGGTACAGTTTTCCTGCTTCCCAAAAATGGTATTAAACACATACATTCAATTGCCAGACACTCACAGATCGTTATGTCCATTTATTGTAAGAGGCAAACAAAGCAATTGATATTGTAAGTATTATAATTTTGCATAAATGCTCCAACCTTTTGCCTATTGCCACGGAATGAGTCACAAACGAATAATACCTAATGTCGACTTGTTGGTCACTATGTCAATCACGATGACGTAATATTGATTTGACTTGCTGAAACTGTAATAAGACAGTGTTGAATATTAAATAGGAAATTAACGATGTAATCATTCAAGGAGCTTTGTCCATTTGGATTTAACTAATAAGGTCTTCTTCGTCTCATTCATTTAATGTAATGCTAAACTGTCTACAACTAACCTCGGGAACTGAGCGACAATTGTCTCCAAAATCATTTAGGGGACGTTTTTTTGACTACCACGTTTTCGGAGTAACAAGCTCAAAACCACCATAAAACACATTGTACCTTTTGGACTGAACTTCTGAGTAGCTGAGTCAGCTTTTCCAAGCAATCACTTTAAGCACATTCAGGCGACGCCCATCACACATATTATGTCCCAAGAATTAATCAATTCCGAAATTGCTCCGATTAAACTAGGCGATTACTCAGAATTGACCAATGCCGTAGAGGACAATCGAGGTGTATGAACTTAGGGGTCAAATGATACGAGGGGTAAAAGTAAAAAAACACAAAAATTGATTGTAAGTAAAAATAGTGGAAAAAAATTGAACGTCTAGCCGAAAGCATAACAAGGTGGAGGGGAAGAAATAGAAATCCTATTTCGTCGAGACGGGATCTTGGAGGCAACGACCCGGGCTCAAGAGTAAAAAAGGGAATAGATATGAATTATTAACCTATGCTGGTAGGTAATAGCAACGCTAGATAAAGTACTTACAAAATATAATCGGTCGATTTTGTTAGAGGGAGTTTAAAGAAATAATAGCACAAACTTAGATGACAGTAAAATGTACTAATAGCTGATGATGAGCATTTTAACAACCCCAAAAACTCAAATCAACGACTAAGGGTTTTTTAATGCTCAGTTAAATTTTAACTAAGGAATAACTTTCAATATTTGACAATTCTTCCATACTAAAACTATCAAAAGTTAATTTTAATCTACAGTTAAAAATAAAGTGATGATTGAAAAATCGACCCTTAAAGTATAGCTTACCCAGAAATACTGTCTGTAGAGTTTCCTACAAAATAATTTCAAAAAGCTATTTCTATAACAATATAAATAATAAAAGTTCGTCTTTGTAAATAGTTAAAAAGATCAATGTCGGCACTGCATTATCAATGAACAAAAACGTGAGTTATAACAATAACAAAACGCGTTGGATTGCATCACGAAATGCACAGTAAAACAATCGTGACAAAATAATTTTACCGCTAAACGTAACTATTAGTGTTTGTGTGGAAACATTGCTTCTATGCCTTTTACTAACCTTCTTAGTTTGTTGTTATTTGCTACCAAATACGCCACTAATACCTTTTATGGTACTCGACATTTTCGTAAATCGGTAAATGCTGCAGCGATTATTATAGATGGAGTTACCGGAATCGTTCGATTCATGGACATCTTCATA